CAGTCATCCTCATCACTACCAATCGCAGCATACATAGCAGAGAGAATATCATCAAAATCAAGATCATAAATAGCTACACCAGCCCTAGACAGCTCTCCCCAGCGGGGGATCTCAGCTGCCTCCGGAAACTGCTGACGCCAGGCGTCAGTCAGGCGGCCAAAGCAGCGGCGGGCTGTGTGGGCGCCTCCACACCTCTCCCCCGCACGGTCACCGGTGCGAAGAACGTAGGGGCAAGGACCAAGCGCACCACCACGCTGACGCTGCGAGTACCACTCACGGAGCTGCTGAGGGGCGGGGACGGTGCGAGAGCGCTGCTGCTGCTGTGGCTGCTGCTGCGGCTGCTGCTGCTGCTGCTGCTGGCGCTGACCACCCCCAGAGCTGCTCCGCTGGGACGAGCCACTCCGACCCCCGCCTCCACCGCCACCCCCGCCTCCACCGCCACCCCCGTCTCCACCTCCACCTCCCCCACCAGGACCGTCGCTCCCACCGCTCCCACCGCCTCCTCCGCTACCACCTCCGCCGCCACCTCCGCCTCCACCGCCGCCACCAGTACCTCCACTCCCGCCACCACCCCCACCGCCACCCCCACTCCCCCCGCCACCCCCACCGCCTCCTCCACCGCCCCCTCTAGCTCCACCCGCTCCCTTGCCCCCCTTGCCCTTGCCAGAGCGGCGTCTGCCGCTGGGGGCAGACGCCGCGCCGACCGACTCAAAACCAGTGAGGTCGGCCGCAGCGGCAGAGGCGACAGAGGGCAGCAGGGGGGAAGGACCACACCCCTCAAAGATGGGGGTGCGAGGGTCACCCCGAGAGGCCCCTACAGCGACAATACTCTTCTCAGCCGCTAGCAGGGACTCCTCAAGGAGGTCGACAGTGAGAGTGGTGGGACAGACAGAGAGAAACTGGTCCCTAACGACACGAAGGGACTCAGGGAGACGGGTGACGAGAAAGTAGAGAGTGATGTACATGGGAGGAGGGTTCGCAGCGCGGAACTCAGCAGGAAGGGCAGCGCGGTAGCGGGTGTCACTAGTACGGAGGTGGGTAACGAGGTCAGCGACAGTGGGAAAGGAAGCGAGGTCAGGGAAGAGAAACGGTAGCATGAGGCGGCTAAGGGTAGCGGAGGAAGGGGAGGAGTAGCGCGCAACTACAGCGTCGTACAAGGCCTGAGCGGTCTTGCACTGACTAAAGTGGGCACGCTCAGAGGAAGGGAGGTGGCGACGCACAGCAAGACGTGCAGCAGCATCGCGGGTCGCCCACTTGGAGCGAACGGCAGAGTCAGCATCAGCAGGTGGGGCAGGGACAGCGCCAGAGACAAAGTCAAAGAGAGAGACCTCATCTATCGCATCACACAGTAAGTACAGCTGCAGGTCTTCAATCCAGACGGCAAAGTCAATGGCCCTCCCCTCAGCGTCAAAAGTAAGAACATTGGGGGTGGCCATGGCAGCAGCTGAAAGTCTCACCGGGCTGGGAGAGTCGGGTAGGTCAGCAGCAGAGGAACACAGCTCAGGAACAGCAGCACGGCTCCTCAGGCGGCTCGGGCGGCTCGGGCGGCTCGGGCGGCTCGGGCGGCTCGGGCGGCTCGGGCGGCTCGGGCGGCTCGGGCGGCACGGGCGGCTCGGGCTGCTCGGGCGGCGGCTCGGCCGCAGCTCAGCGGCGGCTCGGGCGGCGGCTCAGGTGGCCCGGGCGGCGGCTCAGGCGGCGGCGGCTCGGCGGCGGCTCGGCTGCTGCTGGGCGGCTCGGCTGATGCTGGGCGGCTCGGCGGGGCCGCTTAGCAGAGGGCGGCGGGGCCGCGTAGCAGAGGGCGGCGGGGCCGCGACCGAAGAGGGCGGCGGGGCCGCGTAGCAGAGGGCGGCGGGGCCGCGTAGCAGAGGGCGGCGGGGCCGCGTAGCAGAGGGCGGCGGAGCCGCGATCGAAGGGCGGCGGGGCCGCGTAGCAGAGGGCGGCGGGGCCGCGTAGCAGAGGGCGGCGGGGCCGCGTAGTAGAGGGCGGCGGGGCCGCGTAGCAGAGGGCGGCGGGGCCGCGTAGTAGAGGGCGGCGGGGCCGCAATCGAAGGGCGGCGGGGCCGCGTATCAGAGGGCGGCGGGGCCGCGTGGCAGAGGGCGGCGGGGCCGCGTAGCCGAGGGCGGCGGGGCCGCGATCGAAGGGCGGCGGTGGGGCCGCGTAGCAGAGGGCGGCGGGGCCGCGATCGAAGGGCGGCGGGGCCGCTAGGGAAGGGCGGCGGAGCCGCTAGGGGAAGGGCGGCGCAACGGGCCGCTAGGGGCGACACGACGGGTCGCTAAAAAAAAAAACGCGCCTCGGGGCGCGGTTCGGTGGGCCCTAGAAGCAGTCCCTAGGAGGGAACCTGCTCTGATTCCATGTGAAAACAAAGAACGAGAATGAATGACTATGAAGTGAAGTGAATACAAATAGGAAACCCTAATGTGTTGTACCCCCTATGGGATACCCCACTATAGCCTACACAAACAAGTAAACTATATGTTCTGACACTAATCGCTCTCTCTTCAGCTGAAGCAGAATATATCGCCCTCTGCTCAGCCACCAAGGAAGGACTCTACCTTCGCGAACTGCTGGAAGAAGCAAAGTTAGCTGAGTTACCCAGCTTCACCCTGCACTGCGACAACCAATCTGCAATTCGCATCGCCAACAAAAACGGATTCGCGAACAGAACGAAGCATATCGCTCTGCGATACTTCTTCGTGAAAGACGAGATCGAGAAAGGAAGACTCGGGTTATCCTACTGTCCCACGTCCGAGATGGCAGCCGACTATTTGACCAAGAAGCTCGGAAAACAGAAGTTCGAGTACTGCATGCTGCTGACTGGACAAGGCCACGTCACCATCAGCGACACTCCAGAAGCGAAGGGGAGTGTTGGGAACAATAAGTCTTAAGGCGCCTCTGTCGTGTCGAAACTCAGGACACTAGCGAAGCAGCCTAAATCGAAGCATCGCGAGTCAACCCTCGGAGGTTAGGGTAACCGCCTGGAGGTTACGCGAAGGTCAAAGGTCAGCGACCTTTGACTTGACCAATACAGCGCGACAGCAAGGACACACAACTGACTCGACATTGAGCAGTTGCCCGAGTCGCACTGTATCGAATCGCAACAGTAAAACGGTTTAAATCTATCTGTTCGTATTCCTTGTACTCTTATATAAACCTTGTATTTGCTTGTTTAATCCAACTTACTTTGCTCTCACATACTAGTGCAAGGTGGTTCAACCACTCTGTATTACAACGCTTCCGCTATTACAATCCTACTCAGTCCTTAAACTCTACAAAGATCCTAGGGCTTCTCGGCCCAACACTACCGTATCACCCCGGATATAAGCGCCATGGCGCTTATAATAAAATCGATTTTTTTAAGGGTGGCGCTTGTAATTGAATAATGGCCATAAGCGCCGGCGCTTATATAAAGACAAATACAGAAATACAATTCAAACGCACCAACATGTACAGTTCAGTCTCGTAAGTTGAACCGAATTAAAACTTTACAGCGTCCAGAATCAGAATCGCGCGAGGGCGAATTTCTGACGGTGCACTGAGCTTTGGCGCGTCATTTTGCCCGCGTGCCAGCTCATACTGACTGGACGCGCAACCAGTGAGGTCCGCGAAAGTCAAACAAAGTGAAAATGTGATGTGACTCGCTAGAAATATGAAGTTCGTTACCGTTTTAATCAGGAATGAAAAATAAATTTAGGCGTGCGCTTATAATAAGTAAAGCATTTTCAGGGGGGGCGCTTATAATCGAATTCCGGCCATAAGCGCCATGCTCCAGATAGAAGCGCCGGCGCCTTTAATCGGACGGCGCCTATATCCGGGGCGATACGGTACCATCATCTCCATTACGCCTCTCCGCGCCCTTCCTCCCTCCCCTCACAATCTGTCTTCCCTCCCCGCATCCCGTCGTTCCTCTCTCCCCTTCCATCCTGTCGTTCCTCTCTCCCCTCCCATCCCGTCGTTCCTCTCTACCCTCCCATCCCGTCGTTCCTCCGCTCTACCCTCCCATCCCGTCTTTCTTCCTCTCTCCCCTCCCATCCCGTCTTTCCTCCTCTCTTCCTTCCTATCCCGTCGTTCTTCCCTTCTCCCCTCCCATCCCGTCATTCCCCCTCTCTCCCCTCCTCTCCCGTCAGCCCCCTTGTCCCCAGTCCCTTCTCTTCGCCGTCGACCAATCAACCGTCCCGTCGCCCTTTCTCTTTTCGTACATCATTAATTTCTTTATTTATATCTTCTTCGCCTGATTTCACCTGTGTGTACCATGGATTTTGCTTGATCATGCCAGTGTTCGCGCAGGATTTTGCGAGTTTTTGTCTGTGTGCGCTGGATTCTGCCCGTGTGTGCGCTGTTTTTTGCATATGGGAATTCTTGTGAAGTTACGACGGCTGCTATGTTGAATGTGGGATTGCAGCCTTGCACCAAATTCGCATACGAATGTGGGTGAAAGTCGCCACCAATAAGATTTGTAAACTAGTTTCTCATGTTTCCCGTTCAGATCGACTCGTCTGGGATGAAAAAAAAAAGTAAAAACGCACAGGCCGTCAACTTTTCAAACGTTCATCCCGAACTTGTGTTTTCAAGTGGACCCAACTAGAAGGGGGGGTCACTATTTTAGCTGCTGGCTTTAAAGATAATGGAATATTGATAAAAAAATGTTGACAATTGAACCAAAAACAGTATTACAATTGATTGGATATACAGGAAGATACAACTGAGGGTGGGTCACACCCTTCAGAGGTCCTCGTTATATGCACACTAGGCCAGCCCCAGCGCCGACTTTCTCCTCTAGCTAGTATTAGGTACAAGAAGTGACGCATGTTCCTTTTTAGAGCACTCGAAGAATCTTGGCGGCCTGTGCGCAATGCATGCGAAGCAGTTGCACGGGGATGCTGTTCGCGTCCACGGACGAATCCACGGCGATCTGCACAAGGTCGCTCTCGATCGCCAAAAGCAGTCGCTCGGCCTCTGCGACACGCAGCTGTCGCCGAACCTGGGACTCCACGTCAGCATCCATGTCGAGATCGCTAATGCCGCTGCGCACGCGGGAAAGAAGAGCCCGACCGGCACCGGCAATGCTCTTGCCGTTCCCGGGAGCGTGGTTCAGCGTGCGGCTGAAAGTGACGAGGAAATCCGCCATGGATGGGCCGCAGGGGAGCACAGGGGTAGCGGGAGCATTTGCCGCCTCGGGCCGGTTGACAGCTGCAGGTGCAGCCTCGGCCCTGATCGAGGGAAGTGCACGTGCGCTGAGGGTTCTACGTGTTAGTTGGGAGGGGGACGATGATGTGAACAGGCCCTTGGAGAGACCGGCGGAGGACAGGACAGCAGCCTGGTTGCATGAGAGGGCCATTGCGTAGATAAAGCTAATCGAGGCCTAGAGAATCACGAAAAAAGGCAGAGTTTACGAGACTTTGGGAATCAGGTGAATAGATTGTATACGAGGAAGTAGAGCTTGAGTTTTTGGGTAAAGAACGATACGATGGGAACTGCTTTATATGGAGTCTAACGCGGGGCTGGAGAGTTGCGCGACTCGCGAGGTTACTAGGGGGAAAAGCAGGGAAGTGTACCAGCTCCAAATTGGAAGGGCAGGTGAGTGAATGCGACGGCGACACATGGAATTGTGCGACACGGTTCAGGATTAGGGAAGGTGGTCTGTCGATAAATTAGTGCTGCGAGGTGGGGATAGGGGAGGGCATAAACGGAGTGTACACCCTAGATATTTCACCCTGTCCTGTAATATCTATCTAGGGGACTGTATTTCAAGGTGCAGACTAGGGGAGTCAGTGAATCACATACGTACCTGCATCGAGATTCTTTCTGATCTGGGCATGCATGACTCAGCATTTGACGAGGAAAGGAGATGGTTGCTTTGCTGCTGCACACATTTCACAATTTCAGGCATGGTGCATTCACGCTGGCGAGGCGCTGCTGGGAAAACGGGTCCACGCTGACGTGGATAAGGGCGTGTTACATTTTCGATTTTTCCGTACGGTCCGGTTCACCACTCTGAAACAAACCGAAACCCACTTGAACAAAGCGTTTAACAAATAAACAAATTTCAACCGTTCAGACGGTCCGGTCCGTTTGGAAAAAAATCGAAAATGTAACACGCCCTAATGTCAGATGGCCAAGATGGGAGTTGGGATTCGTGACAGATCAGTTTGATTCTGGTTATAACCTCTCGAGGAAACATGACCAGTTTGCAAGTTTTTTATTCGATTTTATTCACAGAAAATGAACTTGTAATTACATATTGTAAGTCATGACCTATATGCAATTTGATTATTCATATCTCTAAACACATGCGTAAATTGGACTCAGAATACATGTGAGCTTTATAACGGTACCATTCGGGCCAAATTTTCCAATGCTGGCCAAACTCCCTAACGTAAATTGAGACCCGAAAAAAGGCAGTGATTGAATCATATGCGGGCTTTACACTTCCAATTTTTTTTTTGTGACAGGTGTGCCAAAACGAGGCCCATGTTATTGAATCGCTCCCTCAATTTCTTGCTCTTTTTCATGGCGAGTGGAAAACGATCCAAGGGACAGAAAAATAGAGACAATCTGGATAATCCTGGCTGAATGTCTGCCACGAAAGCCGATTGTTTGGCAGTGATTAATCGCGCCGCCATGTTTTCCTCTCAGATTCTCTACGTTCGTCCGCATGTTGGGGCCACCTCACCCAGCTTCCACAATTGTCGCAGGGAATTGACGAACTTGCATGGGAATCTCAATGGCGACCGTTGCATCACATCGTCGCATGATAGACTGTCGCAGAGCTGCGATCCGCGGCTTTTCAGCTTAAGTCAAGCGCGGCGGAAACAGGAGCCTTCCAGGAACTTGCGCCGCTCTGAACCGTCATGTGTGCAAGCGTCGCATTCACTTTCGCGAATTCCGCTGTTTTCGTGCTTCGCGAGGTTACCGTCATCTCCTGCCAGAACCCCAAGACGCATATGTGTGCAGGCAAACGGCGCGTCTTGTAACGAATCCGCTGCTGCTGCTGCGACGACCGAGGATACTGAAAAATTCTCGTTTCCCAAAGCACCAGTGTTCATGAAAGCGCCAGTGGTGACAGGATTCGGGCGTGGGAGTAAGCAGATGGGCATTCCAACAGGTACTAGTGCTTACCCCCACCCCCTTTTCCCCGGGTATAAAAAGACAGGAAACCGACCCTGGGTTTGTTTGTGAGAAAGTATTGCAAACCCGTTCTTCCTTCTCACCCCCTCACCGTTCCCCTTTTCTCCATCCCATCCCCCTACCCATCCCCTACCCATCCCCCTACCCATCCCCCTACCCATCCCCCTACCCATCCCCCTACCCATCCCCCTACCCATCCCCCTACCCATCCCCCTACCCATCCCCCTACCCATCCCCCTACCCATCCCCCTACCCATCCCCTACCCATCCCCTTACCCATCCCCTTACCCATCCCCCTACCCATCCCCCTACCCATCCCCTACCCATCCCTCTACCCATCCCCTTATCCATCCCCCTACCCATCCCCCTACCCATCCCCTTACCCATCCCCCTACCCATCCCCCTACCCATCCCCCTACCCATCCCCTTACCCATCCCCCCTACCCATCCCCTTACCCATCCCCCCTACCCATCCCTTTACCCATCCCCTTAACCATCCTCCTACCCATCCCCCTACCCATCCCCTTACCCATCCCCCTACCCATCCCCCTACCCATCCCTTACCCATCCCCCTACCCATCCCCCTACCCATCCCCCTACCCATCCCCTTACCCATCCCCCCTACCCATCCCCTTGCCCATCCCCCTACCCATCCCCCTACCCATCCCCCTACCCATCCCCTACCCATCCCCCTACCCATCCCCTACCCATCCCCCTACCCATCCCCCTACCCATCCCCCTACCCATCCCCCTACCCATCCCCCTACCCATCCCCCTACCCATCCCCTTACCCATCCCCCCTACCCATCCCCTTACCCATCCCCCTACCCATCCCCCTACCCATCCCCCTTCCCATCCCCTACCCATCCCCCTACCCATCCCCCTACCCATCCCTCTACCCATCCCCCTACCCATCCCCCTACCCATCCCCTTAACCCATCCCCCTACCCATCCCCCTACCCATCCCCATACCCATCCCCTTACCCATTCCCCTACCCATCCCCTTACCCATCCCCCTACCCATCCCTCTACCCATCCCCTTACCCATCCCCCTACCCATACCCCTACCCATCCCCCTACCCATCCCCCTACCCATCCCCTTACCCATCCCCCTACCCATCCCCTTGCCCATCCCCTTACCCATCCCCTACCCATCCCCCTACCCATCCCCTTACCCATCCCCCTACCCATCCCCTTACCCATCCCCCTAACCCCCATGCCTCCCCCTGGCTTCCCCTTTACTCCACCCCGGTCCTCCTCCTTTATTTGCTTTTGCAATATGGAGAATGTGTGAAGAGGGAAGGGGATGGCAGTGGGTGCTGGTAAGGTTGTGTGGCGTGGATTTGCAGAGAGCTCGACTTTGGTGATGCGAGCCGCTGAGAGGGGGGGTGGATGGGAGAGGGGAGAGGGGAGACGGGAGAGGGGAGAGGGGAGAGGGGAGAGGGGAGAGGTAAAGGGGAGAGGGGAGAGGGAGAGGGAGGAGAGGAGAGGGGAGAGGGAGAGGGAGGAGAGGAGAGGGGAGAGGGAGAGGGAGGAGAGGAGAGGGTGAGGAAGGGTTGATCGTAGGTGGTGGTAAGGTGGTGTGCCGTGGACTTTGGTGATGTGAGCTGCTGTGTAAGGGGGGGTGGATAGGAGAGGGGTGATGGGCGGGATGGGGGAGATGAGGGAGAGGAGGACGAGGGCATGGGGGATGGAGAGAGGGGGGAGGGAGGGAGGGCGAACATGGTACTGGATACGGTAAGAGAGTGGCTTGGGGGGGAAAGAATTCTCAGTGTCCTTTCTCTGAGGATTCCTGTTTCCCTGTTTATCCTCTTTCCCCCTCCCCCCCCCCCCCATGCCCCTGCACCAGCCAACATGCTACCGGAAGTGCTGAGGAAGCAGCTAGAGGGCATGCAGCGAGGCGTGTACTTTGGGTGCTGTTAGGTCGAATTGGTTGCTCAATCCTTGTCCACTCGTGCTCCCTTCCCCACTCTCTCCCTCACCTGCTTCCCTGCCGTTCCCCACCAGCCAACATGCTACCGGAAGTGCTGAGGGAGCAGCTAGAGGGCATGCAGCGAGGCGTGTACTTTGGGTGGGCCAGACTGCCACACCTGGAGGGTGAAGGGACAACACACAGGGGAGCAGGTGGCGAGGGAGAGGTTGGTGGGGGAGAGGAGGGCACGGGAAGGCCTCGGGTGTTCAAGATGGTGCTGAATGTCGGCAGGCGTCCCACGTTTGTTGACGGAGATGACGTCACCGTGGTACGTGATGACGTCACCGTGGTACGTGATGACGTCACTGTGGTACGTGATGACGTCATCGGGGGATGCGTTGACATAGGTACCATGTCGCCATGACCCTCTTATTGGAAATGACTGGTTGGACTGTGATGTACACTGCCATGCCATGCTACTCCCTTTGGGTATACCTTTTCCCAAGTGGTGCCCTTCAGAAGGTTCATGTTGTATCCTCGTTTGAGAAAGACTCTCAATATTTGAGCTACTTTTGAGAAAAAACAGATATTGCTGCTCTGTCGTCTCCCCATCTTACCCTGCAGGAGGTGCAAGATTTATCCTTATCTGAGGATGAGACTTACAGGTGTTTGACCTTTCGCAATACCGATACTGCTGCTGTACATTCTTCCCATCGTTGCCCTACAGGAGGTGCACATTCTATCCTCGTTTGAGGATGATTTCTATGGCGAGGAGCTGCAGGTGGTTGTGCTGGGCTACATCCGCCCAGAAAGAAAGTTTTCCTCTCTCGGTGAGAATCGATCACTGCTCTCTCATTGCATCGTAACAACTCTACTGCATGTCCAAGTTCTTCTCACCGAGTGAGTATTCTTGCAGTTTTCTTTACACGTTCCGCTCTCGAGAATTCTCAAAAGCAACTCAGGATTTCTTTCTTCCTCGTTAGGAAAGGACCGGTCCAGTGCTGCAGCGGATGTTTGTTCCCTTCCCCCAACCTTGCCCTCCCCCCTTTCTTTTCCTCCCTCCTTTCGCTTACCCCACTTCCCCTTCCTGCTCCCTCTTCCCTCCACCTTGCTCATAACATCTTTTGATTATTAGCCACTGTACCGACTGTTTTATTTACCCCATTTTCTTAACCCGTTTCCTGCCACCATAATGACGTAATCTGCTCTCAACACCACAACTGACCTCTTGCCTAGCCTTGCTCATGCACTAAAAAGTGGCATTTGTCGCAACCATGCCCCTTGCATTGCTTGCCTTTGCGCAAACACTGTTTCCACCTTGATTCATATTCTTTATATTGGGTTGTTGGGGATACGGTATTCACAATCAGCCCCATGCTGCCCCACTTGGTCTGTCACCTTCACAAACCTGCATGAGAGCAAGCATTCCGTTCCCCTCTTTGGACCCAATCCCATTCTATTTTCCTCTTGTGCGTTTTTCATCTCCCAGATGACTTAGTATCGCAGATCAAATCAGACATTGCAGTTGCCACCGAACAGTTGGATACAGCGGTGTTTGCACCATATGCAAGAGACCTCGTCTTTGCATAGTCAGCTGCCTGTTAGTTTCGTGTACATATTGAATTTATATTGCATTCTCTGTACTCTGTTTGCTGAATTCTACAATGAGAAAGATGTGTAAACATGCAGATAAAGAACGTGCTATCACCAGCAGCAGCAGCCGCTGCCACAGGAAAACACAAGGCAAGAATCTGCTAACTTGTCAGTGTATACACGGCCCTCATTTCTCCTTCAACTTATCATCCTCCTCCGCACTCACCTCCTCCTCACCACCACCCCCTTTTCCTGCCTTCCCCTTCCCTTTCCCCTTCCCTCTCCTCACAAGCCCTTCTTCTGACACAGCACGCGCCCCTGCACCCCCAGCACCCTCATTATCCCCTGCCCTCCCCTCACTACCCTCAGCAGCAGCACCACCAGCAGCAGCAGCGGCTGCAACTTCTGCCTCAGCAGCCGTCAGCCTGTCTGTACTGCCACTGCCTGCACCATCAGCACCACCACCCGCAGCACCATCAGCACCACCCGCAGCACCATCAGCGCCAGCAGCAGTCAGTGCGGCTCCCTCAGGTTCCCCTCCGAACCCGAACTCATTGACGCGCTTCTTGTCGACGGGGTAGATCCAGCGCTGGTACAGGAAGATGAGGAATATGATGTCTGGGGGGGGAGGGGAGGGACAAGAAGGGCGAGGGGAGGAGGGGAAAGGGGAAGGAGGATGGGGAAAGGGGAAGGAGGATGGGGAAAGGGGAAGGAGGATGGGGAAAGGGGAGATGAAGGGGCTATTGATGGGGCTCTTGTTGATGGGATAGATCCAGCTCTGGTAGAAGAAGATGAGGAATATGATGTCTGGGGGGAGAGCAGGGAAACGGAAATGAAAATAACATACGAGGGGGAGTGGAAAGGGGTTGAGGAAAGGGGGTGGGAGCGAAAGGGATCGTTGACGCTTGTCGACGGGGTAGATTTAGTGCTGGTTCAGGAAGATGATGTTTGGGAAAGGAGAGGGGAGGGAGCGGGACAAGGGAGAGGGGAAGGGGGAGCGGGAGGGAGAGGGGGAAGAGTTGAAGTGGGGGGGAGAGAAAGGGGTTGTAGAAAAAGAGAGTATTGGAAGAAAGAGAATGGTAGTCCTTGGTGCCAAAAGATGACAAGAGAACGAGAGAACAAGAGAGAATCTAAAAGAACAGAAAAGAGATTGTCAACAATGGTGTTGAAGAACATACCACCACACACATACCACCACTTGCAATCACATCACGTACGGTTCATCACATTCCATTTCTTGCAATCACATCATGCTAACACCAGACACAGCATCACTAGCTATCACATACCATCCCTGAAGACTGACAATCGGTGCGACGTGTTCAGCTTGATGACAAAGGCAAAGAGGTCATTCACGATGGTGTTGAGGAACATACTTTTACATACCATGACATACGATCAGTAACAGTAACATACCATCACGGAAGACCGACAGGCGGTGCAGCGTGGGCATCTTGATGACAAAGGCAAGGAGGTCATCCACGATGGTGTTGAGGAACATTCCATCACACACACTCACCTACCATCACGGGAAGTCACTAATCCACGCACCATCTCTGAAGACAGACAAGCGGTGCAGCGTGGGCATCTTGATAACGAAGGCAAAGAGGTCATCCACGATGGTGTTGAGGAACTTGTAGGTCATCTGCCGCCATGGCAGGTGTGCCACCGACTTGAGCTTGTAGTTGATGAACAGCTGCGGACACATCATGATGAACCCTGGTGGTCGTTTTAACGACACATAGGTGGGCACAGAAACAGAAAAGGGGAAAATATAGGGGAGATCAGAGTGCGTGAAGGGAATAGCATTAGGACAAGTGAGGGGCAAGGCACAACCACAGCAACAACGCATAATAACAATAATAGTAGAAATGATGATGGGGATGCTGATAACAAGAATAATGATTATTGTTATTGTTCTAACTTTAGAAAGCTAAAGCAAGTTTGAAGCTCACCAAAGGTGTAGACACAGCCGGTGAGGGAGTTGAGCACCCAGGAGTACCAGCTCTTGTGCGTCTCGTATATGAGCGAGTACACGGCATAGCCGGCGACGAGTGGGTAGAGCACGTAGGAGAAGTAGCGCATGGCGAGGGCGTCATACTCCTTGGTCTTGTTGCGCGCATACGACTCGCGGTCCCTGAACCTCAACCAGGGAATGGTGCCTGAACGATCAATCTGAAAGAGGCCGGAGGGGGAGGAGGGAGGGACAAGAGAAAGGGTGGCACGCGGGGAAGGGAAGGGCGGGACAGCGTGATGGAGGGTTTGAGTGGATGTGACTGAAGCAGGAGCGAGTAGGTGGTGGTGGCATAGCCGGAAACGAGTGAGTTAAGCGCGTAGGAGAAGTAGCGCATGGCGAGGGCGTCGTACTCCTTGGTCTTGTTGCATGCATACGACTCCCGGTCCCTGAACCTCAACCAGGGAATGGTGCCTGAACGACCAATCCTTTTTTACCCCCTCACCTCAACATGCATGGCCTTGCCAATCTTCCAGAATTCAATCCCGCATGAGATGGCGGAGGAGATGAGGATGAGCCACGACGTGTTGTTGTCAAGGAGATACAGGAAGATGATGAGCTGGCACACGAAGTTGATCACCACTGAGCGCGCGGACAGCCCCTCCATTGACTTGTTCTGATTCCAAAACGCAATGTCTGGGGCATGGGGTGGGGCGGAGGCGAGGGGCGAAGGGGAGGGTAAGAAGGAAAGGGCGGAGTAGGAGAGCGGAGGAAGAGAGGGGAGGAGAAGGAAGGGGGGGGAAGAAGCGGGGGTGATGGGAAGGAAGCAGCAGGTAGAGGAAGATAAGATGAAGAGCTAGCAGATGAACTTGATCACCACATGTCTGGGGTGCGGTGTGCGGAGGAGCGGAGGGGGAATGCATGAACAGGCACATGAAGCCAGTGAGGTTGCAGAGGCGGGGCGGCGAGGGAGGGAAAATAGCAGCGGGGTTCGTTGCAGCCAGGCGTGTGGCTTTCGACTCATACCAAACGACACCACCCTTGTGTTCAGATCAGATCAGACGACACTCCTCCTTGCTTCCTCCAAAAGTTTTGAGTCGACTCAAAATTTGTTGCAGCCAGGAGTGTGGCTTTCGACTCATACCCAACGACACCACCCTTGTGTTCAGATCAGATCAGAGGACACTCCTCCTTGCTTCCTCCAAAAGTTTTGAGTCGACTCAAAAATTTTTGCAGCCAGGAGTGTGGCTTTCGACTCATACCAAACGACACCACCCTTGTGTTCAGATCAGACCAGACGACACTCCTCCTTGCTTCCTCCAAAAGGCTTGCAACGACTTCACAGTCTTGGTAAAACAAAAGCAAACATAACAAAAAAAGGGAAAAAGAAACAAAACAGCACTCCCTGTGCAAGCTACATCAAGGTGCACGCACGCAACATACCGTTTTTGAAGGCAAAGAAGTCAAAGACGGAGTGCAGGAGGGACACCACCACTGTAATGCCCAGGAGAATGGGGTTGCCCTCCAGAAACACCCTCTGCGAATCATTGGCGCCGCCAGGGGACAGAAACGGTGGATGCACAGGGGAGCAGAAGGAAGAACAAATGCTTACATTGCACTCTCCATAGAAGGAAAACGTAACGAAGGTTATCTTCCCAAAGGTATTGACGTGAGAGGGAAAAATTCAGGAGGGAGACGGAGGGAGGGAAGGAGGGCGGGGTGTGGGGGGGGAAGGGAAGCAGAGAAGAGGCGAAGATGGACCAGTCAGTCGTGCAACTACTTAGCCAGGCAGCACAGCACCCGTCCGCACTGCTTTCCACCCACCACTCCCAACCCACCCACCTTGAGCTCGTCACATTCTGACTCCATGGCGGTGCCGAACTGCTGCTGCAGCTTGAAGCTCTGGTCCATGGAGAGGTAGATCTGCCAGCGCCACAGCGGCAGCAAGGTAGGCAGCACAGCACCCAACTGCACCGCTCTCCACCCACCCACCCATCCACCCGCACCGCTCCCAACCCACCCACCTTAAGTTCATCGGACTCTGACTCCATGGCGGTGCCGAACTGCTGCTGGATTTTGAAGCTCTGGTCCATGGAGAGGTAGATCTGCCAGCGCCACAGCGGCAGCGTCTCCACGACCAATGAGAGCGGCACCTCGGATACAGTGGCGTTGAGCTGGAGGAGCTTGTCCCGCAGCAGCCAGAACTCGTTCATGTGCAGCGTGGGAAAGTAGTTGCCTGTGCCCTCGTCAAACGTCATGTCTGGACGGGAAGAATGTGGGGTGGAGAGGGCAGGAAGCGGGTAAAAGGGGGGATGAGTGATCACGGCAAGGGGCGATTGGTCCATGAAGAGGTAGATCTGCCAGCGCCACAGCGGCAGCGTCTCCACCACGAGGGAGAGCGGCACCTCGGAGACAGTGGGGCATGTGTGCAGCATGGGGAAGTAGTTGCCTGTGCCTTCGTCAAACGTCATGTCTGGGGTCATTGCAGGCAAACACGGGGGTTGGGAGAAGGGGGGTGGATGAGAGTTTGAGGGCCAGTGACTGGTGTAAGAAAAGGCGTTGATGAGCTGGATATGCTTTGCTGGTCAACCACCCAGAACTCGTTCACGCGGAGTATGGGGAAGTAGTTGCCTCACTCTAAGTCGTGCTTGGAGTGACACAGGATCTACCTGAGAGAAGTTACCGGAATGTAATCAGTTCAAAAGTTTAAGCCTTGAAGTCACACATGGTGGAGGCGCAAGAAGCGTAATGTCGATTCATGTGAAACTGTGTCACTGCAGTCGGTGTGCGGCACTCACGTTTGTGGAAAATCTCAGGAATCGCTGTTCGAGGATACCTGCGGGAGCAGAATGCCAGGCAAAATGAGGGAACGCGTGAAAATGAGAACACGGGAAACAGTCTGGTTGAGAACAGTCGCTCTGAATCCACTTCCTGGGCCTTGATAGCACATGGAATACATCAATATGAAGGACAAAAAAAAGTTGCATACTCCCAACTTGCTGGAACAAAACCGCAGTACAACTCGTTTCCTTGTCATTTTATCAACACAAATCAAGGGAAAATCTATTGTGCACTCACGCAGTGAAGTCGTCAATGAGTGAAATGGTGAGATTCGGCTTCCAGAAGCCAATCCACTCCACTTCCTCTGGTACCACTGCTGTTGCGTCACCTTTCTCCTCACTATCTGCTGCTGCCTTGGAAGATGGTGGAGGTGGCTGCAGTGAAGTCGCACGCAAAAAAATCGCGCACAGAAAGCGGGAACAATAATGTCCAATGATCAATGTGCGTGTGTGTGGGTGGGCGGGGGGAGGAAGGGGGGGAGGAGGAGGGGGGTGGGGGGTTGGTGGGGGGTTTGGGAGGTGGGTCATTTTCTGGAAGAAGGGCGTGCGTGTCCGTGATGGTGTCTACATCTATGTGCTTGTGGGCGTGTGCTACAGCCAAACCCAAAATCATCACTTGCGCTCCTTTACGCATGCTTGCATGTGATGTATCAACACCGCATCTCATGGGTGCTGGAAAGCAAGCACCCAGAGGCATTGACTGACCTCGCCAGCAGTGTCATTCGCATCTGATCCCCCTCCCAGAAGCCGTTTCCGTGTGTCCACCTTAGGCCGAGGATAATAGGCAACTAGTGCTGCAGAGTCACAAGGGAGAAAATGCGGATAAATATGGGTCAAGAAAGTGGAAGTAGGAAGAATTTGATAGAACAAGAGGTCCACATGAAATCATGTGCTGTGCTGCACTGACAGGCACTGAAACAGGATGAGAGGGGCACAGTGGGTTCACTATTGTGGGCCCAGAAAGTGAAGAGGCGAGTGAGAAGACGGAAGTCCTGTGACAGCTTACGGTGGGTCTTTGAAAACGTTGAGGATCGCTCGTACAGCTGATCTGTTGGGTCTGGCGAGTACCCAGACTTTGCGAAGTACACATGTGCAAAGACAGTCCCATTGCCCTCCGTTACAGCCTGGGAAAAAAAAGAGCAAAGCATGGTCCATAAAAAGGTAAACAGAAGTGTTAGCAGCAGAAAACTGATGAGGCAGAACTAAGAGGTCAAGAAGGAAAGGATCAGCAAGGCTTTACGGGGTTTCAGGGTACAAGGTTGAAGTAATTCGGCAGAAACGACTTACAGATTGAGGATCGGGACTGACCTACCTTGGAAGGATAATAGGTAAACTCAAGGGTCCTTCGAGCGGCAGGAGCATCGTACATCGTGTATGGAATTCCGGACTCTGTCCATACAAGTGCCGACTCGTCTTGAAAATTGTTGAACTTCTCACCCTCTGTTATGTACACCCACATATCCTGCGAGGAAAATATGTGTGAAACAGGATGACGCAACACATCAAACTCACAACTGAACTTGAAAGCTGCACATAAGAGCAGCACATACAATTCCTGAGAGCGAAACCGCTACCCTCTAACAAATTCGACACCCATAAACTACCCGTCACCCACAAATTCAAACAAGAAGAGCGTCTACGGGCCGTCGATCTAGAGCAAAAGTGCGGACACATTCTACGGATCTGGATAAACATGGATACACCGACGATTACTCCGCCGATTACTCCATGAGACACCTGAGAACGAGGCGAAAGTATCGATCTACCGCGCATCTCTGAGGAACTGCGACACTCACCAAGTCCTCTCCTTTCCGAAAAAGGTTCCGAGAAACCATGGCTGGATCCTTGGGCGGTTTCTTGAAAAAGAAATTGCTGATCATGTACCAAAACAAAGCCATGCGAATCATAGGCACTATTGGGTGCTGCTGTTGCTGCTGCTGCTGCTGGCGCTGTCCGCCTGCTGCAGCACCTCCAGCGGCAACCGCTGCAGCACCTGCCGCCGCGACAGCCACATCTTGACGAGCAGGCATGTCGACGACTCACTCCACTAAGAAACTGGGCCCAGAAGTGGCTTCGCGAAAAAAAAAGGGTCGAAACTGACGGAGAGAATCCAGATCTGAACACCTCCAGCACGGGAATCCTCCACTCTCGACTTCACAAGTCGAACCACGCGAAGAGGGAGTGAGGTGATGGAAGGTTGTGCTTGAGGTGGTTGTGTGAAGGGAGGATGACCCATGACAGTTCGAAACTTTGTTCCGAAAAACGATCTGTCTGGAAATCATAATCAAAGAATATGCAGAACAACACAGATAAACAGCTATAGATTGTGCATTATTTGTCTTTCATTTAAACTGTTTTGGAATGTTTGAGACAATCAATGTCCTGTACTGAGGCCTTTCACCCACAATTGTTGTGGAATTTCTTGAAACCGAGCCTATCTGTCTTTTGGCGACCTCCCGAGTTGACACATTCTCCATTTCATCTTTCCCAGTTGGACTTCATAAAGCGTTCCCTTCAAGCCCCTTCCAGGAACAAATGCTCGTCCACTCCTCCCAACGAGCAAGGGGGGAGCGAGAGCTTCATGAACGGATAGCTTTACGACATTCTTCTTGTTGTCGACCAGGCGATGTGGAGGTTTACTCGCAAGCGAGAGTGCTTCAACGTCTCTGGGTCCGTCTCATTTCCGTAGCTCGCTGTAGTGGCGTCATGTTCAGAACGTTTGACGTATTTTCTTTCGCCTTTCCAGGAGCTTGAAGCGACAGTGCGTCGCATCTGCTGCTCCCAGTATTCCTCTCCAGTATTCAGAAAGAGAGCTGAATGATGTCAAGCATTATGACAAAGTCTTTGCTTCCGCGTGGGTCGACCATTCCACATTCGTTATTGGGACTAAAGACAACAAACTTATTCGATGGGACACAGACACCGGAAAGCATGTAAAAATACCCCTTCCTGATTCACCAGAACCAAGACATCGCGACCGCCAGGATAACTGTGGCATTCATTCCATGTGGGTCCATGCTCTGGTTCTTGTTCACGCAGCATTTATCTTTAACAATGCTCTAATTGTGACTTTTATATCGCTTCAGAGCTGTCAGTCCGTCACGCACACTCTTGGCGACCGGAGCCTCAAATCCAGACGATGTCGCCATCTTTAAGTTGCCTTCGTTTGACCCTGTTGCTATTCTTCAGGTTAGTTTGTCTTCATGTTATTATTTGTCAGCATTTTGGCATATCATAACTTGGCAGCTCCAAGTTCATTGTGCAGAGTCACGAGAACTGGATGTTTGCTGCTGCTTGGGTTGGCGATAGTCATCTTATTACAGGTTTGCATCTATGAATCATTGACATCAGCTTTGTTTCTCGTACTGAGAATTTATCGTCTTTACATACCTGTTTGACGAGCAGCTGTCCTCTCTTATGCAGGCTCCCGAGATTCTACTGTTAAATTATGGTCGATTTGTTCTGACGAATTTTTGAACCAGTCACCCATAGTTACCCGTACGGATCATGATGACAAAGTCAGAGATCTCAAGTACTGCCTGGACACGGAAGTGGGTTGAACGGTCTGGGCGACACTGCAGCACTCTGTTTCTGGGGACATGAGCTAACCTGAATGTTCTGCTTGTTGCCAGACAGTAACAACTTTGAGTCAGGATGGCACGTGCAAGCTGTGGGATCCACATGAGATGCTAGTGGTAAATTCTATCATCTCTTGTGTTTTTTCTCTTCCATGTGCTTTCCTGCAGTTGTCACATTGCATTTTCTTTGTACTGTGCTCCCGTGCAGGTGTCATCAATAAGATGCCCGGATCCAAAGGAGCTGGTTTGCATGGCTGTCAAAGCTCCATTGGTGGCTGTGGGGTCACAACGGTTTATAACATTTATTGACATGCGGTGTGGACACGTGGTGAAGTCAATAGCATCCGCTGATGAAGGATGGGGTACGTGGTATAAGTTCTGCATTGCTGAAACTCGGCAATTTTTCATTTTCTGACTCCTTATTTCAGGTGTGCGGTCTTTGAGTTTCCAAGATAACGTCGTGACATGTGGAGGAGGCAAGGGTCGGCTCTCGTTTCTTGATACAAGAACGCAGAAGTACATAAGAATTCGTGAGTCAGCATGGAAACAAAAGGTTGATGGTTTCTTGTGCCACGATGGATAATTCACCAGTTCCGTTCTCTCTTCCCCTCAGGCGAAATAAATGACAGCAGCTGTACTGGGGAGAACCACATGGACACCATATCATACTCCACAGGCACAGGACATGTGGTGAGAAACATTCTACCGTAGTAAAGCTCGTTGATTTTTATTTTGACGGTAGTCCACGTTTCAGCTTGGAATGCTGTCTCTGCAGGTGAAAGACCAAGTCTACACCGAGCACTTTGCAGGTCAAGTTATTAAGCATGCCGTGTACACACACTCACAAGACTTCAGTGGGACCTCGCTTCTGGTTGCTGGAGGCCCTCTTCCTTACGGATTGAAAGGGAGCTATGTTGGTATCTGGTGAATGTGCTGTATAACTATTTATTTATGTCATGTTGTGGGGTATGTAAATCATACTTGTAGAAGCCGTTTCATGTCTTTCTGGCACCCCACACTACTCACCAAACCCTGCACAGATTGAGGCAGCAGAATGTCAGGGTTGTGCTCAGTAAAGGGACAATTATCATCCTGTGCATCAATACCTACAATCAGAGTATAGGTTACCATTGGTTATGAGGTTACGGTATTTGCACTCGTGTAGTCATACATACTCAATGATGTACACATTGCAACAAAACCTGCAATTGATTGAAGAAGTTTTCAGGGGCCTCTGGCACTGTCTCCCATGACAGAAGCCGATGGTAGGATGGTTTCCAAGTACTCATCAACATGCACTAGACACGGCCAGTAATCAGTTCGAAACCTGATTATGGTTGCTGCAACTCCAACCTCGAGGCGCATGACCACATGGAACCGCGGCGGGATGAAAATGAGGACTTGCACGCAACCCAAGGTCCGAGCTTCAGAGTCAACCTTGGCAGCTTGCTGACCCGCGGCTCCTTCCACACTACCACCTGTCAGCAACAGCAGGTCTGACGCACCACCAACCCCCACCATATCTGCTGCAGCACAACCAACACTATCTCCTGCTCCACCCTTTTTAGATCTTGAGAACCTTGTCCCAAGCATACGCTCCCACATCTTCACAGTGCAATTCCTGCTGATAGACACGCTATCACAGGGAAGAGATTCGCCGCCACCAACAACCATCTGCTTCACCCTCTCTTGTAACCATTGCCGTATTCCTCTCCCCTCCACACCAACCACAAACCGGCCCAAATGCTGCTCCACCGCCCCAATCACCATTTCTGGTGTTACAGCTACAGTGCGGACTGACTCAGGCCGGGCTGCAGGCAATCCCTTCTTATCAAACGCCCCCAATTCCTCGTTCCCTGAACCACTTTCACCCACTAAACCTCTACCCCTCATCCCTTCCCTTGCTCCATCCAACCCCCCTTCACCAGCAACCTCCTGCATTTCACCACCCCTGCTCCCAACAAGACCCCTCAATTCCCCTCCCAGAAGCTCCCACAAAGCATCAAACAACCCCGATTCCCCACCCTCCCTCTCGCCCCCACCAAAACCACCAACCACACCCCTCCTTCTCCCCTCCCTCTCACCCTGCCCCGTCCCCATTCCCATCCCTCTCCCACCCCCGCACCTAGCGAACGGCCAGGGAGCAGGCATGAAGAAATCCTCTATGCCGACCGGAATGCTCGCGAGCTCGCCTGTGAGCGTGCGGCCGTCCTGACTCGTGAACGTTACGGTTACCGCCACGAGTATCGGCGCCGGCCAATGGGGCGAGAACTCAATGTCAAACGGTGTCTGATCTGTGACTGCTAGCAGATTGTGGGAGGAAGAGGAGGGGTTGCTCCTAGTGAAATCCGCGTTAAAGGATCTCTCCTCCTCTTCCTTCTCTTTCTCCTCCTGTTCTGCTGTCTCTGGCTCATCTGCAGACGCCGTCTTGTCGTCTTGTTTGAAAACAATAATGCTCATGCTGTCCTTCGTACTGCCACCTCCCTCCACACTCTCTTCCCCCTCATCCTCATCCTTTTCCTCATTTCCCAGCACTCCTTCCTCACAATACTCCTCTTCATCCCACTCCTCCTCATCTTCCCATGCCTCCTCTTCTCCATCCTCCCCCGTCACCCCCTCATCCCGAGCCATCATCAGGCACGGAATCAGGCACGGCTCAATAGGTCCGGTAAACACCGAGGTTCGGAAACTCAGCTCCACAGCAAACACCCCCACCACAGCTCCCATGATCATATCAATGGCTGACGTGGCAGCAGCAGCAGGAGCAGAAGCAGAACCGCCACCCATGCCACCACCCCCACCACCTTCTGTACCAGCAACCCTAGTCTGCCCCAGTGTGCTTATATCGAAGGCAAGCTCCTCTCTAGCCGTTGGCAGCAGCTTCAGCACACAGGGCACCCGTACCCAGAACCCCTCAGCCTCCTCATACCCTATAATGTCATCCTTGTTATGGTCACTGTTCTCACCTAAACCACTCTTACTGCTGCTGGTACTGGTAACCGCACGAATGATGGTCGCTGACCCTGTGTCGCCAGGCTGTCGTCGTGCCAGAGTGGCAAAATACTCGTCCAGAATGGCTGCCAGCTCAGCAGTGTGTGTGTCCAGCAAGGCAAGAGTCTGCTGACTCTGCGACCGATACCACTCAGCCTCCTGCTGCTGCTGCTGCTGCTGCAGGTGCTGTGGTGCGAATGAGTGGTGCTTAGTTGACAAAGTGAGAGACTTGAACTCATTACTGCTTGAACCAGCAGCAACAACAGCAACAGAAGCTGAAGCATGGCTGACCTCCTTGACAGCACAAGCAGCAGCAGCAGTGGCAGCCTCACCCTTTTCCGCCTCCCTTCCCTTCGCCCACTCCCCCCCAGCCCCCTTCTTGTCCGCATCTGAGGGGAACAGGACAAGCTCCCAGGAGTCTGGAACGGCCGGCGGCCGGCGCCGTTTGGCCTGTAGCACGCGTGACAGCTGCACGGGGCCTTTGGGCGGCGGACGGGGGTGAATGGGATCCAAGGGAATGGTGGCAAGAGAGGAGGAGGAGGTGGAAGTGTTGGCAGTGCTGCTGCTGCTGCTGCTGCTGCTGGTGTTGGTGGTGTTGGGGTTGGTTTTTGGTGTCGACTTAAGTGGAGCGGCGGTGGTGATTGGAGCAAGATGGGAAGAAGGGAGGGATGTGGATGCAGAAGCAGAGTCAGAGGAGGAGAGGGAAGAGGAGGAGGAAGTAGAAGTGGGGACGACAGATGAGATCGCTGAAGCTGGTGATGAGGACAGCAATGACACTGAAGAGTTAGCTGCAGTAGCAGCCAGGGCAGAAGCAGCAACAGAAGCAGACGTAGCAACAGGAGCCGAAGCAGCAACGGTAGGAGAAGCAGCAGCATCTGCAGCAGCAGCAGTTGACACGAACAACTCCCCAATGGCTGAGAAAATACCCATCGGTCCCTGCCCCCCCTTGCCAGCAGCACTACCATCCACTCCCCTGGCACTTGCAGCTGCAGCAGCGGCATCAGCGGCATCGGACGCAGCAGCAGCGCGAGCAGCAGCGGCGGCAGCAGCAACAACCGCTTTAAGAGCCGAGGAGGAGAGGGAGGAGGAGGGTGAACTGATGACTGCAGCGATCTCTGCAAACGCTGCTGCATCTGCCATGTTCACGGACTGGGGCTGGGACGGCGGTCCTTCTGCTGTGTCCGCTAAAAGTCGATTTGCTGCTGCTCTCGCCGCCGCCGCTGCTGCTGCTGCAGCTGCTGCTCCTGCTCCCGTTGCTGCTCCTCCTCCCCCCACTCCTCCTCCTGCTGCTACTGCTTCCGACGCAGTGACATCAGTTCTGGTGGTAGCCGCAGCAGCGGAAGAGGCGAGAGCAAAGAGAGCACCACCCGAAGCATCAGAGAAATCCCCTGCGGGAGTGTAAAAGAGGGGAGGTGGAAACAGTGCAGCAGCAGCAGCAGCAGGAGCAGGTGCCGTGATGGGGGTACGGCCAGGGGCAGGGGGGAGGGATGACGAGGAGGAGGAGGAGAGGAGGAGATGACGGATGATGTGACCTGGCGCTGATGTGATGAGGCGGAGGAAAAACCTGTGGGCATGGGGACAGAGGATGGGGCAGAGGAATGGGGGGAGGAAGGGGAAGGAGACAATGTTCTTTCAAGAAAACTCATCTTTCAAGAGGAAGTTGAAGGAGATAATGTTTCTTGTTGTGGCAGAACCTGTGATGGGGAGATGATGGATGATGTAACCTGGTGCTGATGCGATGAGGCGCAGGTAGTCTAGTTTTGAGGCGCCTCAAAACAAAAACTGTGATGGGGAGATGACAGATGATGTGACCAGATGCTGATGGGATGAGGCGCAGGAAGATCCTTTGAGCGTAGGGGCAGGGGAAAGGGGAGAGGAAAAGGGGAACGGAAAGGGAAAGGGGAAGGGGAAGGGGAAGGGAAGGCGGAAAGGGGAGGTGGCAGGGGAGCAGGGAGGGAGAGGGGCAAAGTGAAGGGGGAGGGGAAGGGAATGAAGGGAATGGATGTAGCAGAATCTATGATGTGATGTGATGTGATGAGTGCACCCATGACCAGGCTGACTATTGAGTCGACTCAAAAGTCAGCTTGATGTCTAGTGCACCCATTGCAACCATAGACCAGGTTCTTCACTGCACGCACCTGGCTCTGTCCCTCAAGGTGATATCCGGGTGGTGCTGTTTTAAACATGAACACTGCAGTGCACCCATCGCATTGCAGATTCTGCACGCACCTGGCTCTGTCCCTGAGTGTGATATCCGGATGGTGATGGAGAGTGACAACCGAGAGGAGGCGCGTCATAAGACGTCTCAAAACACGAACGAGGTGCGCACCTGGCTCTGTCCCTTAGCGTGATGTGATCACCGGGACAAAGAACCACACGCACCTGGCTCTGTCCCTGAGTGTGATATCCGGATGATGGAGAGTGACAAACGAGAAGAGGCGCGTCAAAGGGTCAAACGCCACTGATAGGGCGTGGCTTGTGAGAATGGTGCTGCGGAGGAGAGGGGAGACAAGGAATAGGGGAAATGAATGGTGCCACAAAGAAGAAGAAAAAGTAAAGAGCACACACTGGGGATTTGAACCATGGTTTCAATACGTGGCAGCAACTCTTAGGGATTGACACAAAGAAGAAGAAGAAAAGAGCACACACTTGGGATTTGAACCATGAATGATTTGGATACATATTGAGGCGCCTCAACAAACCGGTGCACACGCTTGTTTTGTTTGTTTGTTTGTTTGTTTGTTTGTTTTTCTTTTTAATTCCCGTTTAAGGAAACGACTGCCCCAAGAATCAATGCGGTTGCTCCATTGAACGGTTCAGCTCACCGGCACATGGAGAGCACTTGCGCTGTGTCCTCCCATGATGCCACCTCCCCCGCTGCTGCAGCAGCATCAGCACCACCACTCACACCAGACCTTGAAGCAACACGTACGTTTGTGTTGCTCCATTGAACGCTTTGCTCACCGGCATATGGAGAGCACTTGCGCCGTGTCCTCCCATGATGCCCCCTCCCCATCTGCCGCAGCAGCAGCACCGCCACTCATACCCACACCAGGCCATCTTGCCATCCCACCACCCTCCCTCCTCCTTTCCTCCTCCCTCTCTCCTGCCTCTCCTCTTCCCCCTTTCCCTCCCCTCCTCCCTTCCCCCTTCCCTCCTCCCCCTGTCTCTCTGTACCGCCTCTCCCTCTCGTTCTGCAGAAACGCCAACAGGAGATCCACGATCGGGCCAGGTGGCACGTCGAGATTGGCCGAGAGCGAGTGGAGGAGGGGGAGGTAGCGCGGCACGGAGCAGAGGGAGAGAGGCACCAGGAGCGGCTGGGCCGTCAGATATCCCGCTGACCTGGCAGATCGTGCGGTGGAGGTGAACGGAGCAGGGAGGGGAGGAATCGGAGGCGGAGGAGGAGGAAGAAGAGGAGAAGGAGGGAGAGAAAGAGAAGATGAAAGAGGGGAAAGGCTATACGGATCGCGGTCAGCAGTGCAAGCAGCGTCAGCAGTGGCAGAAAGAGAAGGATGTTGAATGCCTTTGTCTGCAGATGAATCAGGAGGGAGGGTGGGAGAGAATTGGCTGAGGAGGGGGATGAGCTGGGAGAAAAGGGTGCGATGGAGGGCACGCGAAAGGGGGTGGTGGTGGGGGCACTGAGAGAGGCAGGAGAGGAAGAAGAGGAGGTTGGGGATGTGGTCAGGCATGGCTGTGAGCGTGCTAAGCAGATAGGCTTGCACGGATGAGAGGATAGATGGGGGAGGTGCGGGAAAGGAGAGTCGAGGTGCTAGAAGGGAGTGCTGCCTGGAAAGGCCTGGAAGGCCTGGTCTGTTGGTCTCGTGCTCTGGTGATGCTATGTTGATGGTCAAGGGGTGGTGGGTGTGTAGTGGGAGGGAGGAAAGAGATTGGGAGGCGTCGGAGTGGGAGTGGGAGAGAGGTATGGAGGAAGGGAGGGAGAGGAGGGGAGAGGAAGGGAGGTGGGGGGAGGAAAGGAGGGGGGAGGAGAGGAGGGGAAGGGGCGTGGCAGTGAGGAAGCAGCGGAGAGTGCGGAGGGCAAGGAGTGCGTCGAGGGAGGAAGGTGGGAGATAGTAGAAGAGAGAGAGGGCCGCCATGGACTCGTGCAGCAGCTGCTGCTGCAGGCGGCTGGCGGACAGGAACGCGTCAGCAGCAGCGGAATCCCCTGATTGGCTCGCCGCAGCCGCGTCTGACGTGGAAAACGCTGACGTGGCGGATGCTGACATGGCAGATGCTGACATGGCGGCGCGTGCGGATTCGGGGAGCGCAGAGGAGCAGAGCGCAGCGGCGGCGATGCGGGCGAAGGCGAGGGTCTTGGCAGCCTTGAGGGCGAGCGGATCGAAGAGGCGGATGGAGAGAGCTGATGCTAGCTGGGGTGCTGCCAGGATGGGCCTCCTCCTGTGCTGCTGTGTGTAAGGATGTGAGTGCTGCTGTGAGAGTGCGTGCTGCTGCTGCTGCTGCATGTGAATCTGCGGCTGATTTCCAGCAAGACCACCATCCCCTCCCCCCGCTGCCACCCCGTCGACTTCCAGCGCCAGCAGCCACCTTAGCGCCAGCTGGCGCACCGCGATTGGCTGCCAGGGCTCGTGGGCCAATCGGGCCACTCGCAGCACGACAGCTCGCTTGGTGTGCGCTGGCAGGAGGTCTTGTGGTGGTGGTTGTGGTGGCTGTGCTGGTGATAGTGGTGGGATGGCAGATGAGACAAACGGAGCAGGTGGAGTGGCAGGACGGGCAGAGGAAGGAATGGTGGGAGCAGATGAAGGGATGGTGGCAACTGAAGCACCGGAGGAGGAGGAGAGGGAGGAGGAGCGAGTAATGGTGCCTGGCGCTTGTGCAATCCCATGAGCCTGGTTGAAGCTGTGCGGTTGATTGAAGCTGTGGGAATGGGTGAAGCTGTGCGTGCGGCTGTGCGTGGGGGTGGAGGTGGGGGAGGAGCGAGAGGAGGAGGATGGAGAGAGGGAGGGGGATGGGGAGGACGGGCGGGATAGGGGTGACGGTGGTGGGGGGGGAAGGGGTGGAGGGGGAGGTGGCGACAGAATGTGTTGAAGCATGTAGAGAGCTGCAGCAATGGGGGTGGGAAGAAAAAAAAAAGTTTTTTTTTTCTTCAGGCTGTCAAAACAAGTCAAATCATTTAACTGGAAGAAAAACAGAAACAAAAACATAGCACTCACATGGAGCGAGCAAGTACCTGTGTGGGCTTGCAGAGAGGACGAAGCACTCTCCAGCGATCCCATGTCTTGGAGGGCTTGAGACTTGAGAAAAGGAAGGTTCAGTGAAGCTGCCACCGCCGCCACGTCAGCGAGCACGCACGCGAGGACGGGCGGCGACGCCAGCTGGCACGCATCGAGAAGCGCTGAGATGGCCTTTCGGATGGCACGCTGGCCTGATGTGATTGTAGCGAGAGGGAGGGGAAATATGTGATGGTAACGGGAGGGGAGGGAATGACAAATGTGATTGTAAAGAGAGCCACACCGTGAGTTGCTGGAGAGTGCTTGTAACATTGCGACGGAGTGGAAGGAGGGGAGACCACACGGAGGAGTAGCACAGTAAATTGTGGTAAAGTGCTTTGAAGGGCGAGCATAGAAAAAAGTATCTAGTAGGAGATTGCAATGCAAATCCTGCACCAGTAAATCAAATCCTGGGTTTGCAGATGCAACAACCTGCATTTTTCTCACCAGCCAATCTCAACCTGCATTAGTTGGGATGGCACAATCTCAACCCCACCTCCCCACTACCTTTTTTAGCAGACTCGTGCTTTTTCTCACCCGCAATAGGCACTTGGCAGTTGGGACGGCACAATCTCTTTTTGAGGCGCCTCAAAAGTTTTTCTCACCCGCAATAGGCAGTTGGGACGGCACAATCTCAACCCCCCCCACCTCCACACCCCCTCCCCGTCCCTCACTCTCCTCCCCCTGCTGCCTTGTCAGCAAAAGCCCCCAGGGGAGAGGCAGGGAGAAGGGAGGAGGGGCGCTGGGGTCAAAGGGGAGAGCTAAGAGTGAGTCAGCTTGAGGGGGGGCGATGGTGAGAGGGCGGATTTTGAAAGAGGCAGCGGAGGCAGGGAGGGAGGAGGCTGAGGCGAGAGAAGAGCCATGTGCGAGCTGCTGCTGTTGCTGGTGCTGGTGCTGGTGCTGCTGGTGATGCTGATGATGCTGGTGCTGCTGGTAGTGGTAGTGCTGTTGGTGGTGTGACTGCTGGGTGCGGTGTTGGTTTGAGTGTTGGTGGAGGGAGGAGAAAGAGGAGGTGGAGGAGGAGGGATGCAAGCGGGAAGGCGAGGGGGACGGGGAGGGCAGCGGGGCGTGAGCAGAGGGGGAGGCGAGAGAGGAGAGGGATGAGATGGAGGAAATGGAGGAGAAGGGAGAACCGCCTGAAGTTGTTTTGGTGAGGGACTGCGATGACCCGGCAAAAAACGTTGTACAGAGGTTCTGAATGGGGGGGATGGGGGAGAGCAAGGGAGGGAGGTTGGGGGCGATTGGTAAGAGATGGAGGAAATGGAGGAGAAGGGAGAACTGCCTGAAGACGTCTTTGTTAGTGACTGGGTTGATCCGGCAAAGAACGTTGCGCAGAGGTTCTGAATTGGGGGAGGGGAGAATGAGTAGGCTTGGTACGAGATGGACGAGAGGGGCAGGTAAAAGAAGAACTCAGATCACAGGGGTCACAGAGATCACAGGGGTCACAGTGATCACAGGGGTCACGGCGATCACAGGGGTCACGGCGATCACAGGGGTCACAGTGATCACAGGGGTCACAGTGATCACAGGGGTCACAGTGATTGGGATTCACGGTGAGACATACCAATCCTGATTCCAGAGACATACCTTGAATCCCGATTCCTGAAGCCATACTGTCCAGCTCACACATACTTTTGAGAATTCCCAAAAGCCGCACGAATCCCGATTCCTGAAGCCATACTGTCCAGCTCACACATACTTTTGAGAATTCTCAAAAGCCGCACGAATCCCGATTCCTGAAGCCATACTGTCCAGCTCACACATACTTTTGAGAATTCTCAAAAGCCGCACGAATCCCGATTCCTGAAGCCATACTGTCCAGCTCACACATACTTTTGAGAATTCTCAAAAGCCGCACGAATCCCGATTCCTGAAGCCATACTGTCCAGCTCACACATACTTTTGAGAATTCTCAAAAGCCGCACGAATCCCGATTCCTGAAGCCATACTGTCCAGCTCACACATACTTTTGAGAATTCTCAAAAGCCGCACGAATCCCGATTCCTGAAGCCATACTGTCCAGCTCACGCATACTCATCCATTCTCCATCATGCTTGTGTCATGCGTATTCTTCACGCACAGGAACAGAAACAACCTCATACCATACCATACCATACCATACCATACCATACCATACCATACCATACCATACCATACCATACCATACCATACCATACCATACCATACCATACCATACCATACCATACCATACCATACCATACCATACCATACCATACCATACCATACCATACCATGCCATACCATACCATACCTCCACAATCACTGACACAAGCAACGCATAGCCCTGCAATAGGCATATGCATATCTGTCTTCACACATACGCTTATCTCTGTGCACACGTATTCATTCTGTGTACACACATAGCCACCCCCACTGCATTCATACCTTGACGATCGCTGACAGCAGCAGCGCATAACCCTGCCACACGCAGGATCCCTCCAAGGCCAGATAAGCCTATCTGCTGTGGTATGGTAACCCTGCCACATGGCACATGCCCGCCATACTGCTGCAGCACACACGGGTACGCGCCTTCCAGCCAGCTCACATGCAAGTACATGCACCTGTATTGTACATGCACACATACCCCCATTCCCAGGGGGCATTCTGCTTTTGAGTCGACTCAAAAGCACACATACCCCCATTCCCAGGGGGCAGGGCATACCTTGACGATGGCTGACAGCAGCAGCACGTATCCTTGCCACACAAACGACCGTTCCAAAGCTAGATACGCCAGCACGTGCCCGCCATACTGCTGCAGCACACACGGGTAGGCAGCCTCCAGCTCACGTAGGCCGAGGCACGCCGCCTGGCGGATGAAGCGGTCGGCGTGGTTTGTCCTCTTTGCGGCGAAGAGGAGCAGGTCGACGAGCGAGGCGAGGAGATCAGGAAAGAGATCCATTGCCTCGAGCTGAGGAGAGAGAAGATGAGAGGGGGGCGAGGGGGTAGGGGAGGAATGGGGGGTTGGAGAGCAGCAGGACGACAAGGGAGGCGAGGAGATCAGGAAAAAGATCCATTGCCTCGAGCTGAGGGAGGCGAGGGGGAGAAGAAGGGGGGAGGGAGGGAGGGAGGGAGGGAGGGAGGGAGGGAGGGAGGGAGGGAGGGAGGGAGGGAGGGAGGGAGGGAGGGAGGGAGGGAGGAGGGAGGGAGGAGGGAGGGAGGGAGGGAGGGAGGGAGGGAGGGAGGGTTGGATGGAGGGAGGGGGAGTGGAGGGGAAGGAGGGAGGAGACGGTACAAAATAATGCGGGGATGACGTTAAAGTTGAGTGGTATTGAGGCTCCCCATGGGCACCCAATGTACATGTATGGGTGCACCCCATGGGCACCCAATGTACATGTATGGGTGCACCCCATGGGCACCCAATGTACATGTATGGGTGCACCCCATGGGCACCCAATGTACATGTATGGGTGCACCCCATGGGCACCCAATGTACATGTACATGCTGCTGCTGATGCCCATATTGATTATTTTACACACTGCAGCAGCACGGCACGCACCTGTAGGAAGACGGCTGCAACTGCAGACACTAGCTGTGTCTGCCCGCAGCCCAGCAGGCAGCGCTGCTGCTGCCGCTGCTGATGTTTTTGGTGCCTCACAGCACGTAACACACCTGGATGAAGACAGATGTGATAGCAGAGACCAGCTGCGCCCGCAGCCCACCAGGCAGCGCTGCCATTGCAGCTGCCGACACTGCCTCCCGTCCTCCACCGCCTCCCCTCCACCGCCGCCGCAGCCTCAACAGCACGGTACGTGCGCACCTTAACAACAAGGAACACACCTGGATGAAGACAGATGTGATAGCAGAGACCAGCTGCGCCCGCACCCCACCAGGCAGCGCTGCCATTGCAGCTGCCGACACCGCCTCCCCTCCTCCACCCACACCGCTTACACCCCCACCCCTCCCACCCCCTGCCGCCGCTGCCAGCTGTGCCGCTGACGCTGACTGTACCGATGCTAGCTTGCCTGCTGCTGCTGACTGGGCTGCTGCTGACTGTGATGCAGTGGCAGTGCCTGATGCGTACGGAGAGGAAGAGGGGTGGTTGGGATGGGTGGAGAGGGATGCAGAGGCGGGAAAGGCAGGCGAGGCTGCGGCGGAGGAGGGAGGAGGGTGGTAGTGAGTGAGGGAGACGAGGAGGGAGAGGAGGCGTTGCAGCGTGGGACGAGCGGTCATGGCTGCTTCAAGGAGGTGTGCCGACGGGAAGGCGAGAGACGAGAGAGTTGCACTGAAAGATCCAGTATTGCCACCAGCAGCACCAGCAGCACTACCGCCACTGGCAGCGAATGTGCTTGCAGCGGATGTGCTTGTATTGAAGGCGGTGATGCCGGAGGGGGAGGGCAGCAGGGTGGGCAGGGGTAGGGAGAGCTCCCTTTCTCCCAGCACCAGCAGCAACGCATGCTCCTCCAGGAATGACAACAGCTGCGCCTGCGAAGGGGTGGGGTGAAGAGGGGTGGGGTGGGTAACGGCAGCAGGAGCTCCCTTTCTCCCAGCACCAGCAGCAGCGCGTGCTCCTCCAGAAATGACAACAGCTGCGCCTGTGGTGGAGGGGGTGGAGTGTGGTGGGGTGTGGTGGGAGGTGTAGCTTGAGGAAGGAAGAAGAAACCTGAGGCGACTCAAATCACGACTCTACAGAACAGGGCGATTGTCTGACGGCTCGGCACTCCCTCTCCCCCACCACCACCACCAGCAGCGCGTGCTCCTCCAGGAACGACAGTAGCTGTGCCCGTGGTGTGGAGCGGTATGGTGGGGTAAGGTGGAGTGAGGTGGGATGCGGTCCGGTGGGGTGGGGTGGGATGGCGTGCGGTGGGGTGGGAAAGGGGGAGGCGGAGATCATCCACAGCGTGTGGACACGCTAATGAGTGGGAACTGTCTAACCGGAACTCACTAACTCCCTAGCATAGAGAGCTTTTGAGAACTCTCAAACCTGACTCTAACGTTGACGGTAATCCCAAGGTTGAAGAGCACGGGCGGAGGGTACAGCTGCACCCACTGCTTCGGTTATTGGAGATCTTACCCCTCTCCTTGCTACTCTCTCCTTAACAACAAGTCGATCTTACCTCTCTCGCGTCACCTCCCCTCCCCTCCCTCCCCCTCCCCTCCCCTCCCCTCTCCCCTCCCCTCCCCCCTTTCACCCCTCCCCTCACCTTGCTAGCGGCCGGCTCCCTGTCTTTGAGAATGACGGTAATCCCAAGGTCGAACAGAACGGGCGGCGGGTACAGCTGCACCCACTGGTTCTGCATCTCGTGCGATTCGTTGAACTCCGACATGAGCGTCTGCCAGTCGTGCCACTGCATGCCGCCCTTTCCGCCGAACCGCGACGCCGCCGCTGCCATCGCCGCCATCGCCGCCGCCGCCATGATGGGTCGCTGTTCGGACGGACGAGATTCAACGGACGGACGGATTTACGGACGGGATTGAAGCGACGGGCTACAGCCGGACGATTGGAGAACTAGTGGATGGATGGACGGACTGATGCATGGACGGTGATCATGACGAATGAGGGAATGAAAAGCTTTTATGATATCGGGTAGCATGGCAACGGCGGATGCTCGTGGTGGCGACCGCGATATTCTGACATCTTAAAGGTCGGAGCGTGGAGTTTTGAGGCGTCTAAGAACGGAATTCTAATTCCCATCAGTTTCGAATGATACGGAGACTTGACAGCAGGGGAGTCCTCGAAGGCGTGGCTAGCTTTTAATCAGCGGTGCGTGGGTCGCCTCGAGCCATAAACCATACAACAAGAAAGCCTATTCCTAGGCTAGCCTCACACCGAGCCTCGGGGGAGTTGATGAACTGCCCCGATTGGATTTCCTGCTGAATTTGAATTCAAGTCTCTGGGAAAGTAGGAGGCAACATAGTCAGATCCGTTACAGGCAGGATGCCTAGATAGAAAAATTGCATTTACGTGCTTTCCAGGGACTAGTAACGTGTTTACGCGTTATAGTGCACCATGTAAGGTACCATTGACATATTTTCCCATCTAAATTCTATGTACGCAAAAAGGGTAGGTTTCATTCAGAATAACAAGTTGGTCAAATAAACTATATTGGAAATGACATCACCAGTTCCTCTGAAGTTATATTATCTAAGATGTTTAACCGACGCGACTCGTTACAAACTGTTACGAGTGCAATTGAGTGAACGAACGAGAATTGCACTATCGAAGCAAGAATACAATTGAGCGAAGGCATGAGCGAACATTATATAGCGAAACTATAGTGGTAACGGTAATGGTCGCGCGACGAGCCTGGGACTGAGGTTTGGAAAGTGTCGAAGCGTAGGCCCGGAGCGCGGGTTACCAGCCAAGCCGTGAGGTCGGGATGCGATGTGCGAAAAGGGCGGGATGATGAATGATGCGATGGTCGCGAGTGGTAACGGTGTTGACTAAGGTGCTACAGTGATGTACGCGTTGAGCAGGGACGCGAAGTAAGGAAAAGGGAATTTCCTTACACTACCCCCCCTCCTAAGGAGGTCCTCCTTATGAAAGCGCGTGGATGTCTCGGAAATTGCGGCTACGTTGGTAGTCGGTGACGACGGGGTGATTTTCAACTTTCTCCAGGGGAACCCAATTGTCCTCGGTGGGGGTACGATCTTTCCAGCGGATCAGAAACTCTACTTTTCGGGCTCCTCGAGGGTCGCGAACTCTGTGGCTCAGGATCTTGTCGGGGGTGATGACTGGTTCGGTTGGTGGTCGTGTCATGCTGGTGGGTCGATATCGTGGGAGTTGGCTGGTGGATGGCACGTAACGGCGAAGTAAGCTGACGTGGAACGAGGGACTGACGTACCAGTCAGCAGGGAGGAGGAGGTGCGCGGTGACAGGCGTAACCATGTGACTGATTCGAAATGGCCCACAGTATCGAGGGCGGAGTTTTGGAGTGATGGGCAGGCGGAGGTTCTGAGTGTCGAGTAAAACGAGGTCGTCGGGCTGATAAGTAACGGGTCTGCGATGGCGATCGGCGTTGCGTTTAGCGATGATGTTTGATTTTTTGATTGCTTCTGCTGCCCTGGTCCGTGCTGCTTGCAGAATCTCGGCGAACTGTTGTGCTCGTGGGACGGGGTTGTCGGGATTCGGTGTCATGGGTACTGTTGGGTCCTGTCCGTAATTCAAGTAAAACGGCGACTGTTGCATCGTGGCTGATGGTGCGTTATTGTATGCGAACTCGATGAGTGGCAGCTGTTGTTCCCATGTATTCGGATCGTCGCACGTGGCTCGAATCAGCTGCTCCATGGTCTGATTTGTCCGTTCCGTCTGTCCGTCGGTTTCGGGGTGATAGGATGAACTGAACTGTAAGCGCGTGCCGAACTGCTGCCACAGGTTCCGCCAGAAGTTGCTTGTAAATTTCGTGTCTCTGTCGCTGATGATCGATGCGGGTATCCCGTGCAGTCGAACGACGGTGGTGATGAAGAGTCGGGCGGTTTCCTCGGCTGTGATTGATTTCCTGCATGCTGCGAAATGAGCCATCTTCGTTAGTCGATCGACGACGACCAGGATCGCGTCATTCCCACTCGCCCCAGCTGGTAACCCCGTGACGAAATCCATCGTCACCTGCTGCCAAGCACGCTCTGGGGGCGGGATGGGTTGTAATTGTCCCGCCGGCCGCTTCCTGCTTGACTTCATGAGCTGGCAAGTGGGGCACGATGCCACGTGTCGTTGCACATCGGTCAACATTTCTGGCCAGTAGTAGTACCGCTGCAGCTGCTGCCGTGTTTTTTCTACCCCGAAATGTCCCGAGGTAACTCCGTCGTGTGCTTCCTGTAACAGTAGTTCCCGCGGTAGCGTGTATCCTGGTACCCAGATGCGGTCGGTTCCAGCTTTTACGTAATAGACTCCTTTTGCCGCTGCGAATTGCTGTGAGTTGCCTCCTGTAAAGAACGGGTCTGTTTGATATCCGTGGGTAAATAGGCCTGTCAGTAGCGGGCTGGTCTGGGCGAGTAGTATCGCGTGGATCTGGGCAGTGGGGCGGGTCAGTGCGTCGGCGATATTCGAGGCTCCTTTTTTGTATGTGACCGTATAGTGAAAATTCGACTCGAGGGAATCGAGCCATCGAATCTGTCGTGGGTTGAGGTGGGGCTGTGCGCGGAGGTACTGTAGAGATCGATGGTCTGTCCGTACTGTCACGTCTGCGCCGGTCAAGTAGCAGCGCCATACTTTGAATGCGTGCACGATCGCAAGCATTTCGCGGTCGTGTATCGGGTAATTTCGCTCAGGCGGATGTAGTTTGCGTGATTCGTAGGCGATGGGTTGGAGGCCGTCGCCGAAGTCCTGTAACAGTACGGCTCCGATGGCGATGTCACTTGCGTCGGTAACCACTTCGAAAGGGCGGTGGGGATCAGCGATGCGTAGAACGGGTGGTGAACAGAGAACGGTTTTCAGGGCAGAGAAGGCAGCATGCTCTTTCTCCCCCCACGTAAAAGCGACCCCCTTGCGCAATAAATCAGTGAGTGGGGCTGTTAAACGTGCCATGTCGGGCACGAACCGTCGAACGTAATTAACAAAACCTAAAAAACTCTGCAATTCCGTGATGTTCGTCGGGGGGCGCCACGCTTTTACCGTATCCAGCTTCTTTGGGTCAATCTCAACCCCAGCCTCCGAAATGACGTGACCCAAAAACTCTAGCCTGTCCCGAAAAAACTCGCACTTGAAGCCCTTGGTGAGTAGCCGATGTTCCTCCAAAACCTTAAAAACTGCTTCAAGATCCACTAAGTGTTGCTCCTTATCCCGGCTGTAAACTAGAATATCGTCCAGGTAAACTATCACGCATTTATCTAAAAGTGGTCTAAACGCCTCGTTCATGGTCATCTGAAATGTCGCAGGCGCGTTCGTCAGCCCGAATTGTCGAGAGTAAATGTTAAGTTGAGAGGTAGGGCCTAGGCTTAGGAGCCTAGGCCCGAGATTAGGTATCGAGTAGGTTTTGGGCAAGGGTGAGAGGATCGAGGAAGTTGGAAAGGAGAAAAGATGGTGTTTCACTATAGGGTTCGAAGTACATATAGCATAGGAAACAAATAGGGTGCACCACCAACCACAGTTTAAATAACTACACTAACTACAACTACAAGCAGTTATAAAAGATGACAAATATATTTCGACACGCCCCCATAATGCTTGTAGGTAGAAATGTAGTTACAGCAACAGCAGGTAATGCAGGCGGGCTGACACTAGCTGGTCACCCCCTCCATCTCCTCACCCTCCTCCTTCCCCTCCCCCACACTGCTGCAGAAGCAGCAGAGAAGGGGGGAAGAGAGGAGAGGTGGAGGGACGGCTGCTTGTTGCCTCACACCCGCCACCCCGGTACCACTCCCCCTGCTCCCCCACACCCTCACACCCTCCCCCCCAGCGGCAGCTGCAGCAGTGGGAATGAAAGGAGGAGGAGGGGAAGGGAAGTGAACGACCCAACGCCCCAACACCCGCCACCCCCATACCCTCCTCCCCGCGGCTGCAGAGAAACAAAGGAGGAGGGGGTGGGCGGGAAGAAAGCCGTAGAGCGGCTACACTGTGTCGGCGCTGAAAGGTCAGGGGCGGCTGCAGGGAGGGCAGGTGCGGAAAGGCCCGTCGCGGGCCATGGGGCGCACGACGGGTAAGGTTAAGTTTAAAGGGCCCGATCGAGTGCCACGGGGCACACGACGAGCAGGGCACCATCGCGTGCCACGGGGCGCACGACGGGCAGATGAAGGGCACCGTCGCGTGCCACGGGGCGCGCGACGGGCAGAGAAGGAGTCACACGCCCGTGGGCGGGACAAGGTAAAAATCGTCACGCGCCCTAGGCGCGCGACCGGAAAATCTTAGCAGCGGAAGTGTAGGGCGGGCCCACAGGCCAGAACGTAATTCGCTCCGATAACATGTCGAGAGTAAATGTTAAGTTGAGAGGTAGAGCCTAGGCTTAGGAGCCTAGGCCCGAGATTAGGTATCGAGTAGGTTTTGGGCAAGGGTGAGAGGATCGAGGAAGTTGGAAAGGAGAAAAGATGGTGTTTCACTATAGGGTTCGAAGTACATATAGCATAGGAAACAAATAGGGTGCACCACCAACCACAGTTTAAATAACTACACTAGCTACAACTACAAGCAGTTATAAAAGATGACAAATATATTTCGACACGAATGGCATTACTGTATACTCGAATGACCCGTACCTAGTCCTAAATGCTGTTTTGGTGCATTCCGATGGTTCGACCCGAATCTGATGGTAACCTCCCCGTAAATCTATTTTCGAAAAGACTCGTGCTGTTCGCAGTTGGTCGATCAGTTCGTCGGCGCGGGGGATGGGGTATCGCGATTTGACTGTTACCCTGTTAAGCGCTCGGTAGTCGATGCACATGCGGAACCCTCCGTCTTTTTTCGGTGTGAACAGTATCGGTGCGGCGAACGGTGACGAGCTCGGACGGATAAACTGCTTCTCTAACAGGTAATCTAACTGCTTCCTTAACTCGTCGAGCTCGGGCTGTGTCAGTCGAAATTGCCGCTGTACAGTTGGCTGTGCCCCCGGTTCTAACTCGATCCTATGGTCGTGCGCCCGCTGAGGTGGCAGTCCCTGTGGTAAATCATCCGGAAATATCCCCGGGAACCGTTTCAGTAGTGCCTGTAGTTCGGTCGGTACAGCTGCCAGTAGTTTCTCCAAATCACTCGTCTGCTCATCTTTTTCTACGAGTGCGATATCCACTGCGTACACATCAGCTCCAGCAGCGACAGCCCGTTTCATCGTGATGGCGTTGACTTGGACCGTCGAAGATTCGGGTGGCTGCCAGCGAGGTAGAACGACCCAGTTACCACTACTCCGCACTGTGCAGCTCCCCGTCGTCCAGTCGATCCGTGGGTTGTACCGTCGCAGCCAATCACGTCCCAATAAAATGTCGTGCCCATCCAGTGTCGTCGCGAGCATTTCCTGTGTAAACCGCAGCGGACTTTTACGCGCTCCACCTTTTCCCGTATGGCTAGGGGCGTGCCGTCGACTAAGCGTGCATCCATCTCAGGTAAACATCGGTTAAGCGTTAACTGTAATTTTCGTGCGGTTGCGGTATTAACTAAGCTGTGGCTTGCTCCTCCGTCAATGAAGATCTTCACTGCTGCTCCCTGTATTTTCCCGTAGATCAGTACCGGGCAATCCGTCGCTGTACCCTCCTTATTCATCCGAGCCCGATCGATGGCGTGAATCGGTACTGTGACTCGGTGAGGGTCGGTGTGGTTGGGCGAGCAGGCAGTCTCGTCAGTAGTTGGCCCAACTTCTACTGACTGCTGGCGTTTCCCTGCCTCTGAGACTCCCTCCCCTGATCTGCTCCTCAACGCCTCAGCTCCTCTGGACATTCGCTCTTGCGATGGCCCGGCCGGTTGCAAGCAAAGCAGCGCCCTCTAAACGGCGCGGCAGCTGCATTCGCTGCGACGGCATGTACAGTGGCGTGCTCGGTCGGTCCCCGAGGACGATGTCCGTAATAGGACCCCGGTCTCGGTCGGCGTAGGATATCGATTTTCTCGGCGAGCGCGAGGATCTCGTTGAATTACGAGAGCCCGCGTAGCATTATCTCGTGCGAGATGTCCGGCTTCAGCCCTCCGACGTAACGGTCCACCCGCTCCGCCTCGTGCATGTAGCCGACCTGTTCGCAAAGTGCGAGAAACCCGCTGGTGTAGTCTTGAACTGACCCGAGCTGGCGCCAAGTGCGCAGTTTCTGACGCGCCGAAATGGAGGCCGCGATCGGCTCAAAGCGCGCCCGAAGCCCTGCGCACCACGCATCCCACGTGCTGTATTGGGCGGTTTCGCAGAACGAACTCCAGGTAACAGCTGGACCCGAGGGCCCTTCCTCGTGCGACGGTGGCTCGTAGGCGCGCGGCGACGTCACAATGACTCGCCACCAGTCCATGGCGGGGCCCCTGAGTAGTGAAACCGCATACCGGATCTTGGCGGCGTCCGACTCGACGTAGTTGGCGTCGAAAAACACATTCATCGTGAAGACCCACGATTGAACTGTCGGGCCGCCGCGTTGGCTTGGGTCGAAGCAGGGCGGGCGTTGCGGCTTGAGTGGCATTGGGGCCATCATGGCGTTCTCGCCACTTGTCGCCGCAAACTCCACGTGCCGACGGGCTTCTCGGGGCTCCCGTGGGCTTAATGCGCTCCTGTTCCCTCCCATGCCGGGCATCGGTTGGGCTGCGCCGTCACTGGCTGCGCCTGAGCGCTGTCCCGTGCTGTTGTGTTGCGTTGGTGTGCCGGATGAGATGACGATGGGCTCCTCCAAATGTGCAGATGCATTGGTTTGTGCGTGTGATGTCGTCGGTACGTTCACCGTTGACTGTTGACGGGCGGAGTCACGTTCCGCCGTGAGAGTCGCGATTTCGAGCGCCGAATCCTCCAATTGACGCATGAGACGATCGAGTTGCTCCTGCGTCAACGTGGCGAGATTGAAATCGGCCATGGCGGGGGTGTCGGGCAAGCTCAGCGAGAGCCTCGGTCGTGGCCGTGCGTGCTTTCGAGAGAGCACTACGAGCGGCGGTGCTGTGTCGCTGAGAGACGTTTACCCCCCCCAAAATTTGAGATAGTGGGAAGCGAAGGTGTGGATGCGGTCCGAGATGAGATCGTAGGCTCTGAATACCAAGTGTTACGAGTGCAATTGAGTGAATGAACGAGAATTGCACTATCGAAGCAAGAATACAAATGAGCGAAGGCATGAGCGAACATTATATAGCGAAACTATAGTGGTAACGGTAATGGTCGCGCGACGAGCCTGGGACTGAGGTTTGGAAAGTGTCGAAGCGTAGGCCCGGAGCGCGGGTTACCAGCCGAGCCGTGAGGTCGGGATGCGATGTGCGAAAAGGGCGGGATGATGAATGATGCGATGGTCGCGAGTGGTAACGGTGCTGACTGAGGTGCTACAGTGATGTACGCGTTGAGCACGGACGCGAAGTAAGGAAAAGGGAATTTCCTTATACAAACCCATCCCCGTCCTCGTGTCCCTCACCTTGGACAACTCCCTCTCATTTCGTTTCCCCTCCCTCACTTGGCGACAGGTCACAGAATCCATCCAGGTCAGCGTGAACCCGAGTTCTTTCAGGGGCGTATGCTCAAGTGAATTTTCGTGCCTAGGTCTGCATTGCGGTTCATCGCCGGGATTTTCAAACTCGGGACACCGGACGTCACTGATTGTAAGGTTCTGTTTCGACCCGCATTTCGAATCGTTTCGCAAAACCGCCAATCGAATGTAGAGTCTTCTACGGCCTTCACAGAACCTGTCCCCAGATCCATTGCGCTTTATTCCACGACACACCCTCCCCCCCGAACCATTCCACGGTGCCCCATGTGCTCCAATACAACACAGCAGAACTCTCGCATCTTGATCTTTGACATCTTGAGATCGAATTTCTTTCGGAGCTCGTTCCTTTCGTTTTCACCCAGCGTTCACCAGCGACGGAAAGAGATATTGTCGCTGGGCGTTCGATTCCAGATTTCCCGCTTCTGCCGTGGGCACTCCATGCGCCACGAGAATCCTGCTTACGATGAAAACGACAAGTGCTCCACGTGGAATGGGATTCCAAAACAACCGAGCCGCAAACACGTTGCTTTCCCGTACGGGCAGTAACCAATGTCGATACCAGCGCCTGCGCCCGCTTCTTGCGGCGCCTGAGAACCCTATCGTCGCACGCAATTCTAGGAGAGCCTTATCAGCTCCCGTTTCCGAGAACCTTCCTCATCTCCATCCTCGCTTTCTCGTAAATCGCTTCTCGCAGTTTTCCAGCTGGTTCCCCCTTCTCCCTCTCCTTCTGCTCCTCTTCTCCGCCAAACCCGGTGTCGCCGAGACGCGGCTAATGTCGGGCGGCTTTATCCGCGAAGCCGTTCTCTCGCACTGCCAGCCGCACGTGCCGGAATTGTCGTCTTCTGATGGCGCTGCCGCCCCGCTCCCGGCCGTCCCTTTTCTCCTCTCCTCCAACTCCGTCATTCGCGGCAAATGGCGCTACCAAGACCCTCCCGCCGCCGCCGCCGCAGCAGCAGCAGCAGCTGACGGAAACAACACTTCATCGTCGCCGGCTGGAGCAGACGGCTCGGCGGCAGGATCAGCCGGCCAGCCGGCAGTCCGGCACAAGGTCCTGACGACGGACTCGGGCGCGTTCGATTTCTGGACGGAGCACGTCGTGCCGACGGAAAACGGCACGTTGGACGTGGGCGCGCTCGTTTATGTCACGTCGCAGACGGAATGGGCGGAGAGCTACATGGGGACGGTGGTGGTGCGCGCGGAGGGGTATTTTTCGATGCGCGCGGGGGTGCTGTGCATGGTGGGGTGCCAGAGCCGGTTGGGGGGAGGCGCGGGGGGAGGGGAAGGGGAGGAGTCCGCGGAGGCGGAAGATCCGTACGCGGATCCGCGGAGGTGCAACATGCTGCTTGTGCTGAAATTTAAGGCGAAGAACGAGGTGAGACGGTGGGGTGGGGAGTGGTGCCTGGTGGTGGAATGGTGTGGGGTGCCTAGGAGGTGAGGTGCAGCATGCTGCTGGTGCTGCGGTTCAAGGCGAAGAACGAGGTATGTGATGTGCGTGGTGGGTCGCGGTGCCTGGTGGTGGGATGTGGTGCTAGGTGGTAGGGTGGTGTGGGATGCGTATAGCGCCCATCAGGCAGGCAGAGTGGGGCATGCGCCTTGAAGGGCCAAGGAGTTGTAGTATGCTGCTAGTGCTGCGGTTTAAGGCGAAGAACCAGCAGCACCAGGAGCATCAGGAGCATCAGGAGCACCAGGAGCACCAGGAGCACCAGCAGCACCACCAGCACCACCAGCACCAGCAGCTCCAGGAGCACCATGGTGGGCTGGCGCGTGGTGGGTGGGTGTAACACTATGGCTGAATCTAACGACGAAACGAATCACTTCTGAGATTTCTAAAACACGAAACTTCCCAGAAAGCAACCAAAAAAAAAAAAAAAAATTACCTCCAGCAATGTAAAGGAGTACTCTAAAGAGGGATTGGAGGTTTTCCCAGGCAGCTTAGAGGAGCCGAGGATGAGTTTCAGAAGAACGCCCAGGAGCAGGGGAGCGCATTGCAGTGTGGTGTGGCTGCCTGGAAACTTCACCTTTGCCCTACCTATCGCTCTATGCCTCCTACCACCCTCTCTTCCCCCTCTCATCACCCCACCAGGCGGAGTGGCGGAAGAACGCCCAAGAGCAGGCGGAGGAGCGCCTGGAGCGGATTGCAGTGTGGCTTCCTGGGGGCTTCACCTGGTCCTCTCCCTCCTCCTTGCCCCTCCATCCCTCTATGTCTCTCTCCTTTCCGCCCACTCCCCGCCCCACACCGCCAGGCGGAGTGGAGGAAGAACGCCCAGGAGCAGGCAGTGGAGCGCCTGGAGCGAATAGCCGTGGCCAAGTTCGGGGTGAACGGGGAGGGCAAGAGCAACGCCGCTGCTGCTGCCGCTGCTGCTGCTGCTGCTGCTGGTGCTGGTGGCAGCAGTGTGGGGGAAGAAGGGCAGGGAGAAGCAGGAGCAGCGGCAGCAGCGGCGGCAGGAGTAGGGGTGATCGACCCGCACACTCTGAAGGAACGCACGGATATCACGAAGGCAGACCTGCTGGACGAGTTGGGATCCGAGGTGGATGATACTTCCATTGTCGCCGACGTGCTTGTAATGGAGGGCACTGTAACGAGTACAATCCCGGTGGAGCAGGCAGGGGAGGGGAGCGAGTTCTTTGGGCCGCTCGCAGTGGCGGGGGAGACGGAATCACTCACACAGCAAGCGGAGCTCTTCGATTGGGACATGGTGGTCTCGGCCGTGCTCTCTGCCTTCCAAGCGCTGGCAGTGTTTTCTCAGGTGGGTCAGCAGTGAATGGGGCAGTAATATAGACAGGCAGGCGGCAGCAGGCGGAGCTGCTTGATTGGGACATGGTGCTCTCGGCTGTTCTCTCCTCCGTCCAAGCGCTCGCAGTGTTTTCTCAGGTGCGTCAGAAGGCAGTCAATGGGGGGGCAGTACCAGTTAACGGGGGAGACGGAGTTACTGTCTCAGCAGGCGGAGCCGCTCGATTGGGACATGGTGGTCTCTGCCATGCTCTCTGCCTTCCAAGCGCTCGCAGTGGTTTCTCAGGTGCGACAGAAGGCAGTCAATGGGGCAGTAGTACCAATCAACGGGGGAGACGGAGTTACTGTCTCAGCAGGCGGAGCCGCTCAATTGGGACATGGTGGTCTCTGCCATGCTCTCTGGTTTTCAAGCTCTCTCAGTTGCCTTCCTTTAATAACCCCTCTCTTTCCTCTCCTACCCCTGCTGTCCCGTCTCCCTCAAAGGTCGCCACATGGGCGGAATGGCTTCTGAACTGGCCCATGCCCTCTTAAGATTACGCCTCCCATACGAGCACGTCTTTATCACACTGGTCCAGTTTGCACTAGCAGCTAATTTGGACGGAGGTGGTTATCAAACTGAGCCCGTGTGATAAAGACATGCTCGTACAGGAGGCGTCGTCTTAGGATGACATGGGCAAGTTCAGAAGCCATTCCGGCTATATGGGCACCTTCCCCCTCTCACAATGGTTGCCTCCCAGATCATCATATTCGCCTCCTTCTGGCTGCGGGACCGCTCTCCTTCCTCTCCTCAGACATCCTCTCCTACCTCCCCACCTTCCTCCCACACCTTCTCTAGCGCGTGCTCTCGTTTACCCCTCCACTTACCCACTCCTCCTGTTCTCCTCCCACCTTCTTCTGCTGTTACTCCCCCCACCCCAGGTCTTACATGTCCGTTCACACCCCCACGCGCACTTCACCTCCCTCACCATGATTGCCACTCAGATTATCGTCTTCGCCTCCTTCTGGCTGCGAGACCTCTACTACCCGCTCTCTTTCCTCTCCTCAGACGTCCTCTCCTACCTCCTCACGCAGCTCGCCACCCTCCCCCACGCCATCGAGTTCCTCACCCTCCTCCTATACGTCCTCCTCTTTGTCTCTGTCGAAAGGAAGCGGAAACGGGCTGCAGCAGCGTACGCAGCAGCAGCCAGCGGCCTCCCTGTCAGTCCCTCCTCCTCCGCTGCTATTTACGCCTCCCGGCCGGCCTTCTCGCCCTCCTCCCCCTCCTCTGTCTCCTCCCGCTCCCCTTCCTCCTCCTCCTCCGCCTCCTCATTTTCCATCTCCTCCGCTTCGTCTCATCCCGGAAGAAACGCTGCTAAAAGCACTCCACCCAGAATCACTGCTCCTCCGGGAGAAACCTTCGGAACCCACACCACCACCCAGCACCACGCACAACCCCACCAGCAGCAGCCGATGCAGTTGCTACCTCCCCCGAGTGACGCCTACGTGGCGCTGACGATCATGGGCATGGTGGGGGTGGGCGGCGGTATTCTCTACGTGTGGGACGCTACAGACGTGCTGCTACAGCTCGCCCACTTCCTCTTCCTGCTGCCGCAATCCATCGCATTCGCCATCTGGCAACCCCCACTCGCTGCCTGCCGCGGAGTCTCCCTCAAGTTTGCTGTCGGCAACTGGGCCGCTCAGGTGAGCTGAGCTAGGTGCTACAAAGGTGGTGCGTTTGGTGTAAACTGCACAGGTGAGCTTTGAGCATTTATGTGGGACTGCAGCTGTCCTCTTCCTCTGTCATTCTCTATACGCCATGCGCCATCTGGCAACCACTCCTCGCCGCCTGCCACGGTGTCTACCTCAAGTTTGCAGCCGCTCAGGTGAGCAGAGGTTGTTGCTCTTCAGGTGAGCTTGTGTGGGTGGACCCAGCAGGGTGGACCCAGCAGGGTGTTTTTGAGAGTTCTCAAAAAACACACCTTGTGTGGGTGGATCCAGCAGCCAGCACACTTCCTGCTTCCCAAGTGCATTGCCTTTACCATCTGGCAACCCCCACCCTGCGGTGCTGTGACCCTCAAAAGTTGCCATTGGCAACGGGGCAGCTCAGGTGTGTTGCTCGAGGACGGCACTCCATCCGTGCTGTATCGTCTTCCCCCTCCCCCACACTGCTCCCTGCTCGGGCCCTTACTTCTCTGTTTCACCTTGTCCCCTCCTCCCCCCCCCTCCCCCCTCCATGGTGCCCCCGTTTTTTCCCCCCTCCCCAAATCCAGCTTCTACCCTTCCCCTATCCCCCTTCCCCCTTCCCCCTTCCCCATGTGATTCTTTTCCCTTTTGGCACCCCCTACGCCACCACCCCCTATTTCTCATTCCCCCGGTCCATCTGAACTTGACTGCTGGCCCCTGATGCTGGGCTACGACGCTCTCTTCCCCTCGCCCCACACCTATCAACTCTGGTTTTACCTTCCGCTTTGCTCTCCTCTCCCGCGCACCTCACCCTCCCTTCTTATGCCCACAGTCCATCTGGCTTGTCTTTGACTGCTGGCGGCCCCGCCTCCTCGGATACGACGCACTCTTCCCCTTCCCCCACGCCTACTTCTGGCCCTTCTTCATCATCATGACGTGGCACCTAGCTGTCTTCCTCACACAGTGGAAGTTCGGACCTCTGTGTGTGACAAACACCTCGTTACACGGTTACGCGGCTGTCCCGTCGTCCAACGCGGAGGAAGATGGGGTGGTAAATGGAGTGGTGTAGGTGGTAGCTTAGTTGAGCGTTTCAACACTACTTCATCCAAGCCCCCCCGTCTCCTGGGCAATGGGTGGACGTCTCAACACTCCTGAGGCTCTTGAAACAATCTTAGTATTTTGTTTGAGGCGCCTAAAAAGTGGGGGTGACTACACTCCTTCCAAATTCGTTTGTCACTATCTTGACTCTCGCCCTTCTGTATATTGGGGGCCTGCAAGGCTTGTCACGCGGGCTGATCAGGGTTCTCAGGACCAAACAAGTGATTGGAAGGGTGTTTGGGAACAAAATGCGCTTTTTTAAAGGAGTTTGGTCGTTTTCACATCATCTTGGCATGATTCCATGCATCTTCTGTTTCCACCAACAAATTTCCTGAATATGAGGCCGTGTGCTGCTGATGGTGGTGTTTAGTAGCTGTTCTATGGTGCTGTAAAGATTTAGCTGTTTAGGTGTTCCCTGTTGCTAGTACACCATAGCGCAAGGCCAGATCGGAATTCCCTGTTTAGGGTAAACACAAGAATGAATGGAGGATATCATGTTGGATATTATCAGCGACTGGCCGACTGACCGTGTAGATTCTCCTAGCGAGTACAAAGCCCCTGTCCTTGGTTAGAAGGTCCAATCCACACCCTCGTTTGCAATCATTTCGCGTGTCGCAGTTGACGAATCGGAGCGCTGACGCAATTGACAGCGCTGATACGAGCACATCCCAGGCCTGAGTCGTATTCGCCTTGTATTGGCCGACGTATTCTCTTCCACTGATTTGGGCTTCTTAGAGTATGCTATTCATCCACGTGGCTGCAGCACAGATTCTTCGAGGATGCTGGGATGACATGGCACGGCTTCTTTGTGACCCTTTCGATGATATTTTCCTACCTTAACTGCCCTTTCGTAAGTGTAAGACCATCGGGATTTTGTTGGCTATTGATTAGGGGGCTCTCCACTCAGCCCCTTGAAAACCCGTTTTGAAAACAATCACACAGTAAACCGCGAATAAATAACAGTATTCTCAAGTTTCAAGTTTTCTTCACTGTGGTGAGGGTAGTTGTTCGTGAAACTCGAAAATCACTGTCCTTGCACCCTTCGGAATTTCCCCTCGAGTTGAGTAGCAGCAGGGTGGCAACATTAGAGCAGCTCAACAGCAAGAAACACCAGTCACACCACCTCCAGTGAGCGATCCTTTCTAGGCTGTCTTTCCTCTCCGACAACAGATCTCCACGAGAATACCACACCACCACAGCTCACTCACCACACTACCACCACAACAGTCCTCAAGAAAGCTCCATTCTTGCATTTCCCTGTGTCGAGTAGGCCGGTCTGCTTGTGCGGTGATCAGTCTACGTATCAAACCTCATTTCCAGCAATAGTTTCGCTGCGAAACGTTCATTCTCCCGACTCGCGACTCTTTCATCCTCAGGCAGTAACTCACTCCTTGCGCAAGTCCACTAAAAGCAGGAAAACGCTGTCATGGCTTCTCACGTCGCTCCCCTCCAACGGAGTCTTTTCGCGCGCGAGCGCGTCACAGCCGCCGCCGTTCCACTCAGCTCCTCTCACAGCATCGTCACCCTTAAGAGACGGCTAGGTTCTAGCAGCAAACGATCGCTCTCCCGTCGGCTTCCCTCATCTAGAGTTACAGCCGTTCGAGCTACAGCCGTCAGCGATGCGCCTTCCCGGGTCGCGGATTCGGGGTCGAGCGGGCTGGATCCAGATCTCGCCAAGTCGCCGTTCAAAGTGATTGTAGCGGGAGCGGGAATCGGCGGTCTGGTGTTCGCTCTGTCGTGCAAGAACCGTGGCATTGACGTGGAGGTAACTGATAGCATTCATGGGGATCTTCATGCTCCTTTCAAATCCACGTGCCTGTTCTGTTCCTTGTCCTCGTACTTGTTCATACTTTCTCTTCTAACAGGACATTCTCTCCTAACAGTTTCTTTCCACGTTGCCTTCTCCACCTCCCCCCTCCCCTTCCTCCTTCTCCCCTCCCCAACTCCCCCCCCCCACCTTCCCCATCCTTATCAGGTCTTCGAGCGGGATCTCACCGCGATTCGCGGCGAGGGGCAGTACCGCGGGCCGATTCAGATTCAGAGCAACGCGCTGGCGGCGCTGGAGGCGGTGGACCTGCGCGTGGCGGAGGAGGTGATGGCGGCGGGGTGCATCACGGGCGACCGCATCAACGGGCTCTGCGACGGGCTCACCGGCGAATGGTGCGTGCGACAGTCGCTTGTTTGTAGTTTTCTTTCTTTCTTTCTTTCTTTCTTTCTTTCTTTCTTTCTTTCTTTCTTTCTTTTTCCGGTCACATAAAGCACACACACGCACACACTAAAACAAAAACGGAAAAAAGGCTGTGATTACCAATGAACTTGAAGTTTCATCACCACACCACTATGTGGTATCCTCTCGTCTCCCTGTAATTCCCGTGCAATCCCACCAGGTACGTGAAGTTCGACACGTTCACGCCAGCGGCGGAGGGCGGGTTACCAGTGACGCGCGTGATCAGCCGCATGACTCTCCAGCAGATCCTCGTGGACGCCGTTGGGGAGGGCATTATCAGGAATGGGTTGACCGTCGTTGACTTTGAAGACCAGGGCAAGCAGGTGCGTTGACTATGAGGAGCTGGGCGCAATCGTCCCACCAAATGAATTTGAATTTCTACCTCTAGTAATGAAACCCCCCCCTCCCCCCGACACCCTCTCCTCGTCACACCCTGTTCTTCTTTCCCCACCTCTCCCCCTTTCCATGTGGCAAGTTTTCCTGTAAACGCACGGCGCACAACAACGCCGGTTCTCACTCTCTCCTCCCCTGCCCACAACCTCTCCTCCCCACAACCTCTCCACCCCACCCCACACCACCAGGTGGCGGTGAAGCTGAGTGACGGCAGCACGGTGTACGGGGACATGCTCGTGGGCGCGGACGGTATTCGCTCCAAGGTGCGTGAGTGCGTGCGTGCTGTCAGAGCTTCAAAAGTCAGGCTCTGAAACCGCCCTGAAGCCCTTGATACGATTTGATTCGAGGTCGCGAGGCATGTCGGGTGTGTATGGCAGGGGAAGGCAATTGGCTCACAAGCTGAAGAGCTGACGAGTTGTCAAGGCCTAGTGGCCTAAGATATACAGGGTTGTGCTTATAATGGGTAGAATATGTCCGATTTGACTCTTGTAGTGAACCGGGGCTGTGGGGAGGACTGGAGCTGTGGGGAGGGGAGGACCGGAGCTGTGGGGAGGGGAGGACCGGAGCTGTGGGGAGGGGAGGACCGGAACTTGACAAGATCACTTGGAGCCAACAAATAATTCACTTCTGCCCTCTCCTGTCTTGCTGTCTTTGGTGCATGGATGCGTGAATGCAGGTGCGGGACTTGCTGCTGGGAGTGACGGAGCCCACCTACTCGGACTACACGTGTTACACGGGCATCTGTGACTTTGTCCCGCATGACATTGAGACCGTGGGGTGAGTGGGAGGTGGCAAACCCTAAACCCTAAACCCTTGAGTTCAAGAAACTGCTGATGGAGCCTGTTGATTTGCTGTTGAGAGAGGCAGGTCATTCTGTTTCTTTTGAGCCCACCTACTCGGACTACACGTGCTACACCGGCATCTGTGACTTGGTCCCGCATGACATTGAGACCATTGGGTGAGTGCCGTGCAGTGGATTCTGAAATCATTCCCTCGTCTGCTTCTGGTAGAGCATGCATGTTCCCTAACCAAGCCCACCTGTTCGGACTACACGTACTACACCGGCATCTGTGACTTTGTGCTGCACGACATTGAGACTGCGGGGTCTTGCCACCCGCATGGTCCACTCATCCATTATCCATACCCCTCCCCTCCCGCCCCCCCTCCCCCTTCCTACCTCCCCTTCTCCCATCTCTTTCCCCCCTCTACCCACCCCCCGTCCCTCCCCAACCGGCTCCCAAACCGCCACATACCGCGTCTCTCTGAGGCACGGGCAGTACTTTGTGAGCAGCAAAACCTAACCCCTTCCCCAACTCATCCCCTTCCCCTTTTTTCCCCCCTCTTACCCCCCCATCTCTTCCCCAACCGCCAGGTACCGCGTGTTTCTGGGGCACCAGCAGTACTTTGTGAGCAGCGACTCATTAACCCCTGCCCCGACTCCCCCTCTTCCCCATCTCTTTCCCTCTTCAACCCACCATCCCACCCCCAACCGCCAGGTACCGCGTGTTTCTGGGGCACCAGCAGTACTTAGTGAGCAGCGACTCATTAACCCCTGCCCCGACTCCCCCTCTTCCCCATCTCTTTCCCTCTTCAACCCACCATCCCACCCCCAACCGCCAGGTATCGTGTGTTTCTGGGCCACCGGCAGTACTTTGTGAGCAGCGACGTGGGGTTTGGCAAGATGCAGTGGTATGCTTTCTACAACGAGCCTGCTGGCGGCTCCGACCCCCCCGGCTGTGAGTGCTACCAGGCACCCCTTGCTACATGCCAGGCACACATGCTCCCACACACATACATGCTTGTCAAAAGCATGTGGGGTTGGCCATATGCAGTGGTATGTTTTCTACAGTGAGCCTGCTGGCGGCTCCAACCCCCCCGGCTGTGAGTGGGTGCTGCACAGGCATGAGTAAGTGCTGCACACTGCACAGGCATGAGTAAGTGCTGCACACTGCACAGGCATGAGTAAGTGCTGCACACTGCAGTGCACAGGCATGAGTAAGTGCTGCACACTGCACAGGCATGAGTAAGTGCTGCACACTGCACAGGCATGAGTAAGTGCTGCACACTGCACAGGCATGAGTAAGTGCTGCACACTGCACAGGCATGAGTAAGTGCTGCACACTGCACAGGCATGAGTAAGTGCTGCACACTGCACAGGCATGAGTAAGTGCTGCACACTGCACAGGCATGAGTAAGTGCTGCACACTGCACAGGCATGAGTAAGTGCTGCACACTGCACAGGCATGAGTAAGTGCTGCACACTGCACAGGCATGAGTAAGTGCTGCACACTGCACAGGCATGAGTAAGTGCTGCACACTGCACAGGCATGAGTAAGTGCTGCACACTGCACAGGCATGAGTAAGTGCTGCACACTGCACAGGCATGAGTAAGTGCTGCACACTGCACAGGCATGAGTAAGTGCTGCACACTGCACAGGCATGAGTAAGTGCTGCACACTGCACAGGCATGAGTAAGTGCTGCACACTGCACAGGCATGAGTAAGTGCTGCACACTGCACAGGCATGAGTAAGTGCTGCACACTGCACAGGCATGAGTAAGTGCTGCACACTGCACAGGCATGAGTAAGTGCTGCACACTGCACAGGGAGGCGATTGGTAGAGAGGGTGATGAGAGGCTGTGCGGCGATATACAGGGGTACGCCTTCTACAACGACCCTGCTGGCGGCTCGGCTCCCATCCTCCCTTTCCCTCAACCTCTTCCCCCCACCCGCCTCTGCAGGTCGCAAGGCGAGGCTGATGCAGCTGTCTGGCAAGTGGGCGGACGGGGTGGTGGACCTCGTTCAGGCCACCCCTCTCTGTGTGTTCCCACGACCCTCTGCACCTGTGCGCGTCTCCCCCCCGCAACTGCCCTTTCTCTCCCAGGTCGCAAGGCGAGGCTGATGGAGCTGTTTGGCAAGTGGGCGGACGGGGTGGTGGATCTCATTCAGGCCACCCCCGAGGAGGACGTGCTCAGGGGCGACATCTACGACTGCATTCCCATGCCCTCCCTCCACCCCCTTCTCGCTCTCTCTCTTGTGCCCCTTCCTTAGTCTGCCTCTCCTCCTTTCCCTCCCCCCTCTCCCTCTTCCCCCTCTCTCCCCACTCCCGCTCCCCCACTCCCATCTCTCTTTCAGGTCGCAAGCAGAGGTTGATGAAACTTTTCGGCAAGTGGGCGGACGGGGTGGTGGATCTCATTCAGGCCACCCCTGAGGAGGACGTGCTCCGGCGAGACATCTACGACCGCATCCCCATCCTGACGTGGAGCAAGGGGCGAGTCACTCTCATGGGCGATGCTGCTCATGCCATGCAGCCCAACATGGGGCAGGGCGGATGCATGGCTATCGAGGTGAGACGAGTGTTTGTTTGTTGAGTTGACACGCAGTAGTTGACTCACAGAGCTGAGACATCTACGACCGCATCCCCATCCTGCAGTGGAGCAAAGGGGCACGTTACTCTCATGGGCGATGCTGCTCATGCCATGAGGCCGAATATGGGGCAGGGCGGATGCATGGCTATCGAGGTGAGCTGACCTTTGAGTCGACTCAAAAGTCAACTCGGATGCATGGCTATCGAGGTGAGCTGACCTTTGAGTCGACTCAAAAGTCAACTCGGATGCATGGCTATCGAGGTGAGCTGACCTTTGAGTCGACTCAAAAGTCAACTCGGATGCATGGCTATCGAGGTGAGCTGTTTTTTTCCAGGCCTTGAAAGTGTGCCGTGGTGAAATTGTGTCATTCGTCGCCTCATTTACTCACTCCTTGGCTCACTCCCTCCCCCTCCCAGGACGGCTTTCAACTGGCCCTGGACCTTGAGAAGGCAGTGCCACTGCCATCCCATCCCATCCCATCGCTTCTCTCCTTCCCACACCCCTCCCTTCAAATCGCTCCCAGGACGGCTTTCAACTGGCCCTGGACCTTGAAAAGGCAGTGGAAGGGGCACAGAAGAAGAGCATCAGCAAGGGAGGGCAGCTGCGGCAGCACATGGACGTGGCGGGTGTGGTGCAGCAGTATGAGGCGGAGAGGCGGCTGAGAGTGGGGGCCGTGCATGGCATGGCACGCACAGCTGCCATCATGGCGTCTACCTACCGGGCGTACCTGGGGGAGGGCTTTGCCCCACTCTCGGTGAGTCAGTCTGTCTGTGTGCTCTCTAACCTCCCTACCTGTTGTGCACGGCATGGCGCGCACAGCTGCCATCATTGCGTCCACCTACTGGGCGTACCTGGGGGAGGGCTTTGCCCCGCTCTCGGTGAGTCAGTTTGTGTGGTACAGAGTCAGAGTGGGAAGTAAGAGGCTGAGAATGGGGGCGGTGCATGGCATGGCATGGCATGGCATGTCATGGCATGGCATGGCACGCACCGCTGCCATCATGGCTTCTACCTACTGGGCGTACCTGGGAGAGGGCCTTGCCCCGCTCTCGGTGAGTCAGTGTGTCCCCGTGTGTGTGCGTGTCTCAGCTCAGGCAGTGCGTGATGAGTCTCCTTATTGTGTCTCAGCTCAGGCAGTGCGTGATGAGTCTCCTTATTGTGTCTCAGCTCAGGCAGTGCGTGATGAGTCTCCTTATTGTGTCTCAGCTCAGGCAGTGCGTGATGAGTCTCCTTATTGTGTCTCAGCTCAGGCAGTGCGTGATGAGTCTCCTTATTGTGTCTCAGCTCAGGCAGTGCGTGATGAGTGTGATTCAACCATGAATTCATTGTGTCCTTCATGTCTGTGTCTCAGCCAGTGAATCAGTCCTCTTTCTCCTTTCCCCCACAAACAGCCTCCTATTCCATCCCTCCCACCCCACCATTCCCCCCCCCCAGTGGCTGGTGAACTGGCGCATTCCGCATTGGGGTAAGATGGGCGGGCAGGTGGTGATGAAGCTCTTCATGCCCGCCATGCTCAAATGGGTGCTCACCGGCAACACGTGAGTGGTGGGGTGGGGTGGGGCGGGGTGGGGTGGGGTGGTGTGGGGTGGGGTGGGGTGGTGTGGGGTGGGGTGGCGTGGGGTGGTGTGGGGTGGGGTAGGGTGGGGTGGGGCGTGGGTGGTCAAGTCAGCAGGTGGTGATGAAGCTCTTCATGCCCGCCATGCTGAAATGGGAGCTCACTGGCAACACATGAGTGGTGGAGTGCGGTGGTGATGGGCGGGGGTAAGATGAGATTAGGCTTCACGTGAGTGGGTGTTGAGTAAGCATGGGAGTGGTTGGTCATACTCGAATGGGTGACTCACAAGCATTGCAAGTTTGGATCAACTCCCCTCTTCCTCTCCTCAAGTCTTCCTCTCCTCAAGCGTTCCTCTCCTAAAGTGTTCCTCTCCTCAAGTGTGCCTCTCCTCAAGTCTTCCTCTCCTCAAGTGTTCCTCTCCTCAAGTGTTCCTCTCCTCAAGCGTTTCTCTCCTCAAGTGTTCCTCTCCTCAAGTGTTCCTCTCCTCAAGCGTTCCTCTCCTCAAGCGTTCCTCTCCTCAAGTGTTCCTCTCCTCAAGTGTTCCTCTCCTCAAGTGTTCCTCTCCTCAAGCGTTCCTCTCCTCAAGCATTCCTCTCCTCAAGCGTTCCTCTCCTCAAGCGTTCCTCTCCTCAAGCGTTCCTCTCCTCAAGCGTTCCTCTCCTCAAGTGTTCCTCTCCTCAAGTGTTCCTCTCCTCAAGCGTTCCTCTCCTCAAGCGTTCCTCTCCTCAAGTGTTCCTCTCCTCAAGCGTTCCTCTACTCAAGCGTTCCTCTCCTCAAGTCTTCCTCTCCTCAAGTCTTCCTCTCCTCAAGCGTTCCTCTCCTTAAGTGTTCCTCTCCTCAAGTGTTCCTCTCCTCAAGCGTTCCTCTCCTCGAGCGTTCCTCTCCTCAAGCGTTCCTCTCCTCAACCGTTCCTCTCCTCAAGCGTTCCTCTCCTCAAGCGTACCTCTCCTCAAGTGTTCCTCTCCTCAAGTGTTCCTCTCCTCAAGTGTTCCTCTCCTCAAGTGTTCCTCTCCTCAAGTGTTCCTCTCCTCAAGCGTTCCTCTCCTCAAGCGTTCCTCTCCTCAAGCGTTCCTCTCCTCAAGCGTTCCTCTCCTCAAGCGTTCCTCTCCTCAAGCGTTCCTCTCCTCAAGCGTTCCTCTCCTCAAGCGTTCCTCTCCTCAAGCGTTCCTCTCCTCAAGCGTTCCTCTCCTCAAGCGTTCCTCTCCTCAAGCGTTCCTCTCCTCAAGCGTTCCTCTCCTCAAGTGTTCCTCTCCTCAAGCGTTCCTCTCCTCAAGCGTTCCTCTCCTCAAGCGTTCCTCTCCTCAAGCGTTCCTCTCCTCAAGCGTTCCTCTCCTCAAGCGTTCCTCTCCTCAAGCGTTCCTCTCCTCAAGCGTTCCTCTCCTCAAGTGTTCCTCTCCTCAAGTGTTCCTCTCCTCAACCGTTCCTCTCCTCAAGCGTTCCTCTCCTCAAGCGTTCCTCTCCTCAAGTGTTCCTCTCCTCAAGTGTTCCTATCCTCAAGCGTTCCTCTCCTCAAGTGTTCCTCTCCTCAAGTGTTCCTCTCCTCAAGTGTTCCTCTCCTCAAGTGTTCCTCAGTCCTCAAGCGTTCCTCTCCTCAAGCGTTCCTTATTCTCCCTCATCGTCCCCCTCTCTATCCTTCAAATAGGTGACTTTTGAGTCGGCTCAAAAGTCTTCCGCTCCTCAAGTGTTCCTTTTCTCCCTCATCATCCCCCTCTATCCTTCATCACTCCTCCACTGCTCCCTTCTCTATTCCCTTCTCCCTCTCCACCCCCCCATCTCCTCTCTCTCCTCCTACTCGTCATCTCTGTTCCCCACTCACTTGCTCTTCTCCTGCAGGTTTGCATTGGAGGGCCGTGCGCCTTACTGCAGAATCACGGACAGGGTGAGTGATGGGAACGAGTGGGGTAAACGCGTGGGGGTATTGTAAGGCAAGAGACAATAATTTTGTTGTCGTTTTTAGTCCAAAAAATAGCTGGCTCATTTACTTGATTCCCTGCTCCATATTCCCTCCCCTCACCCCATCACTACCAGGCGGATTCGAATCTAGCCAAGTGGATGGACGATGACGATGCATTGGAGAGAGCAACCGATGCAGAGTGGTTCCTGCTGCCTGCTGCGGACCGCATGCCCCTCACCGGCGCTCTCACTGACTCTGGCCGCCCCATCCTGCCTCTGGCAATCGCCACCACCCCCGAAGGCGCTCCCCCTACCACCATCACGTCGGCCATCACCATTGTTGGGTGAGTGAGGAGAGAAGAGAACCCACAGCATGTGACTCTTGTAAGGCCTGTTACTCCTTCTGGACGCCCCATCCTGCTGCGGACCGCATGCCCCTCACCGGCGCTCTCACTGACTCTGGCCGCCCCATCCTGCCTCTCGCTATTGCCACCACCCCGGAAGGCGCCCCCCCTACCACCATCACCTCTGCCATCACTATCGTCGGGTGAGCCTCCCTTGTTGTATTCCCTTCTTGCATCTCCTGTGTGTCTCACCTGACCTCACCTTCTCTCGCCTTATCTCCCCTCCCCTCCTTCTGTCACCTCCTCTCACCTGCCCCCACTTACTCTCACCTGCTCTCACCTGCTCTCACCTGCTCTCACCTCCTCTTACCTCCTCACACCTCCTCTCACCTGCTCCCACCTGCCCTCACCTACCCTCGCCTGATGTCACTTGCTCAGACCTGATCCCACTTGTTCGGACCTAATTCCACCTGCTAACCCCTGCGTACCACCTTATCTCCTTTCTCCTCACTTCTCCACCTTTCCCCCTTCCCAGCAACACACACCTCCATTTCTCCCTCTCTGCAGCTCTGCGGAGTGTGCGCCTGCCAGCGGCACAGCAGCACTCATCTCTCTCTTCCCCCCGCCTCCCTTCTACACCCCTCCCTTCTCCCACACTCTCTCTGCAGCTCTGCAGAGTGTGCGCCTGCCAGCGGCACAGCAGCGGTCATCTCACTGCCTGGGGTGCGTACCCCTTGCTTTACACTCATACTCGTGCTCAACACTCAGATGCACACACGCACACACACACACACACACACACACACACACACACACACACACTCACTCACTTCCTCCATTACAGCGATCTTTCTGTCTGTGCGGACACTTGCTACAGATCAAGCACACTGGCGCTAACACCAGCCCTGCTTGCACCTGTTGTTTGCTGTTGCAAAAGTGTCATGCTCACGTTCTCCTTACCATCCGTTTATGCATCTGCCATTTAATTGCATGGACATGTCATGGCTCCGGCACGACACGACATGGCATGGCATGGCATGGCATGGCATGGCATGGCATGGCATGGCATGGCATGGCATGGCACGACATGGCAGGTGGAGGAGAAGCACTGCCGCATTGAGAGTCGCAGTGACCACACCTTCTATGCAACAGACCTCAGCCAGACCCAGGGCACCTGGCTTGTCAGGTGGGTTGCTTTCAGGGGCACCTGGATTGTCAGGTGGGTTGCTTTCAGGGGCACCTGGCTTGTCAGGTGGGTTTCTTTCAGGGGCACCTGAATTGTAAGGTTGTAGCTTGTTTTCCGTACTTATAGCTTGTAGGTAGGCCTAAAGGCCTTGGGCAACATGACTGTCTTAACAGCGCTTTCCTACTCCTAGTTTTTGAGTCGACTCAAAAGTCACCCTTTCTTAACAGCGCTCACTCCAGGGTCCCCCGAATGCCTTTTCAGTTAGTCACCCTTTCTTCCCCCCTCCCCCCTGCAGAGTGGATGGAGCGCGGTCAAGGCTCACTCCAGGGTCCCCTGAACGCCTGCACCCTGGTGACTCCCTCCAGTTTGGACCCAACACCGAGGTCAGTTCTCCATCACTGTTGAACTCGCCTTTGAACCGACCTTTTCTTTATTTAGCTTGTATATGCGACCTTTATGGTGCAGGGTGTAGTCCTGTGTAGCTTCCTCTGACCTTGGTGCATGTGCCTTGTGCATGTGTGATGTGACACGCTGCAAGCAGGCTCTCTTCCGTATCAAGCTGAGGAAGGCACAAGACGGTGGCAAGGCCAAGGATGTGTTGGCAGCTGCGACTGCCTGACTGGGATCTTGAGCACGAAAAATTGGGCTCGAAATGTGCATGCGAATCAATCTGCTATGTCGGTTGGTAGTTCTTTTGTACAGTGCTGCACCTTATGTGAGCATCATTGCATAGATCTCTGCTGTTGGTGTATCTGTATCCCTGTGCTTGTTTGATGGAACACACTGGAAGTCACGTTATTCATTCTCAACCTAGGATGCTTGCAACTTACTAGCAGAGGTTACTTACCTGCATGTGGGGGATAGAATTAGGGCTTGTTCCTACGGTCCCTTATCAGGCCAACCTCCTACCAAGGTAATAGACTTTCTTCGCATCATGCTGAAACTCACCGAAGAAACTAAAAACCCTTTGCATATTGTGTTATGGAAGAGGATTGCCTGATAAGAGCAGTTCCACGCCCTTTACCAATAATGCAGTAATTCAACCTTACCATCAGGAATCAATACCCGGCAACTAAAAGCAGCAAGGGTTAAGAACAATTAGGGTAACTAGACAAATCATCACCATTTAATGTAATTCTGTAACCTGGACCCAATAATGATCTCGATCCATCTGAAGGTCTGAGTGTGCACGAAGGTTGGTGATAATCTGGTTACCTACAATACCAGATCTTATTGAACACAGCAAACAAACCATTAGTCATCAAAACTGGTGCACCTTTAATTTACAGTTTCACATCAACAAAAAAGAGTGTCTAAACCTATGGACGGAGGACTCATCGCCGGCCGCTGGCTTCCTCAGCAGCCAGGTCGAACATCCGCTCCAAGGCATTCATGTTCTCCAACGTCTCACTCACTGTCCTCGCGTCACTGCCATCGCTCCTGAGGTGGGTCATGGGTCCGTGGAGAATCTTGTTCACAATACCCTTGCTCAGCTCCTCAATCAGCTTCTTCTGCTTCTTAGTCGGCTCCTCGCCCATCTTCGCCAGGATTCTGTCCAGCTCAGCCTGTCGAATGCCCTCAATCTTCTGCCGGAGCTTCTTAATGGTCGGAACCGTCTCCAGGGAATCCCTCCACGCGTCGAAGGCCTGAAGCTCCTCCTCAATGATAGCCTGAGCCTCAAGGGCCTTCTTTCTCCGCTCCTCCTTGTTGGCAGCAACCACCTCCTTCAGGTCATCGACGTTGTACACCCTGGTCTGCTGAACGTTGGCCACGCAGGAACCAACATTGCGAGGGACGGAGATATCGATGAAGTGCCTGACGCCGTTGGTCAGATCGCCAGCAGGGCCGAGGCCCTGAACGTTGGACTCCTCGAAGAGAAGAGTCTCCGAAGCTGTGCTGGTAAAGACAACCTCAGCCTCAGCCGCTGCTTGCATCATCTCAGGAAGAGGCCTGTAGAGAAGCGTGGCGTCCGGAAATTCAGACTGCAGCGTCTCTACACTGCCTAGGGACCTGTTCACAACGGTCATGGTGTTGCAACCCTTAGAGAGCAGATGCTTCACAAGGAGACGTGACATCTTCCCAGCGCCGACGATCATGACGCGAGCTTCCTTCAGGCCAGCTTCGGGAAGCTTCATCGCGGCGAGCTCAACGGCAGCAGAGCTGACGGACACGGCACCCGAGGCGATGCTGGTCTCAGTACGCACACGCTTGCCGGCCTCGATCGCCTGCTTGAAGAGACCGTTGAGATTGCGTCCAAAGCCCTCGGCTCCCTGGCCAACCTTGAAGACCTGCTTCACCTGAGCGAGGATCTGACCCTCTCCGAGCACCAGGGAGTCAAGGCCAGAAGAGACGCGGAGAAGGTGCTGCGTAGCGTCCCTTTGACGGAGCAGGAAGAGATGCGGGCGGAGCTCTTCAACGGGAACACCGCTCGACTGTAGGGAGGAACGAAGGGAAAATACGAAAGGGAAGGACTAAATGGACGGAACAGTCTTTGAAAACCTATGAGATGAATGGTGATCATGCTGCACGGCTTGATTTGTGAAGCAGAATCAGCTTACCTTTGACATCCACTCAGTGACCTCGCGAATGCCCCTGTGCCAGGAGAGCGCCACGACGTAGATTTCCATGCGGTTGCATGTGCTCAGAACACCAGCTTCCTCAATGTGGGGGTACTCGCAGAGCTCTGTAATGGCGCGTGGCCACTCGGCTTCAGGAACGGCGAGCTTCTCACGCATCGAAACGGGAGCGGTGTGAACGCTTAGACCGACGACAATGATGCTGCTCTTCTCGCTCGTGTACCCTGAAGCGCAACAGGGGTAGGATGGAACAATGTGTGATTATCTGAAGGAATTAATCTTCCGTTGCGGTCATGGTTTCAATTCGGGAAGCAAAAGCGAACTGTGAGTGTACACAAAAGGTTCAGCACGTACTGTTTGTATTGGAGACCCTCAATTGCTCGAGAGCGGCAGCGCTGCTAGCTCGGAGCTTGTGAGTCCTGGGAGGGCCAGACGACAGGGAAGCTGAGACGGGAGCGATTGTCCTGGCGACAGGAACGGCCTGACGATGAGCGACATTAAGCTTCTCCCCAAGCAACGAGCTTTCCTTGAGGTGAACCTGCTCCTTGGCCTTGAAGGCCTCCACACCTTCCGCGCGGGGAAGGGTGGAAATCCCACGAGCAGCAACATAGCTGACGGAAGCCATGTCCGGCTTGTCGGGACAAACCAGTCAGAAAGGAAGACTGACGACTGGGGGAAGGATCGAGAAATCGATCACCTCGTGCAAGCTAACCTCCAACGGTTAGCTTTCCTCGAGTAAAGACGACACGAGGAGAGCTCGTCGGAGTGTTATGGCTGCCGTGAGATAAAAGATCCAGGAGTGTGTCAAGCGGATGTCATACAGATGACTGGGCAGAGCAGAGTTTCCTAGGCGAAACCAGCCTTGGGGGAAGCGGTAGCAGCTGGCTCCCCAGTTGCACAGGGAGCATCCTGGCTAGGCTGCCTGGCTCGGCTCGCTTCTCCAGGCAAGGGGGCATCGTGTTCGCCGGATTCTGTCGCCAATAACTGTGGGGTCATGGAAGTGCGAATCTGATTCCTCATTCGCTGTCGGGATCACGAAAGCGAGCCACGTCGGATACAGTGACTCTGGAGGCGACCACGTCATTGGACCGCTGTTGGTAAGGTTGATGAGCTCTGGGTGACACCACGACCCCCAGCACTTTCGGGGTGCTTGTGACACCACCAGAGCTTCAGGCTTGGAATATCAAAATTACCAGGCCTAGCCTCGAAACGCAGTCATAGGAGGAGAAAATCACTCGCCATCTTTCGCACTGATTCTAGAATGTCTACATGTTACAGGGCCACTTCTGCTAGCAACCCTGTTGACCTTTTAACAAAAGAGAATGCCGTTTTTTACCCAAACAGATGAAAAATCCCAAATCTGCTATGCAAAATATGGTTCATGCCTCTTGCACAGCTTACATCCTGGTGAATGTATGTCATAAAACAAGTGGACCATGCAGTATGCTCGAATTGGGTATGGGACAAGTACGTACGAATATACAACAAGAAAACACAATGTTTCTCTTGCACGTTCTACATGATGCAAGTAGTTTCCAAACGGTCCATGCACTTATGGAACTCAACCAAGCGTTGCTGTGCATATGACATGTAGTCAAACCCTGCATCTGACACTGCAGCCTGCACATATAAAGCCGAGGATAACAGGAAAGGTGAAAAATGAAGGTGAACACATGCGTAAAACCACGAGAGGAAATGCTTCCCAACACCATCATTCATGAGGCACCCCCAAAAACAAGCGCAGTAACTTACCGAAATAATGCCCCACAGGAACCAATGTAGATGGCACACAGGAAGAAACACATCCACTGCTTGCATCAGCTCCTCAGCAACACTTTCATCGAGGCTGCTTGTAAAGGGGACACCCCTTCTAGTGGTGCTGGTTTCACTAGCGCTTAAACATGCATCAGCAGGAGAGGTAGGATTGGCAGCAAGGTAGCAGTTAATAAACCACCGTTGCTCGTCCTCAGCTGAAAGCAAATAGAGCGGAGGACCAGAATAGCCAGAAGAAAGGGAGGAAGGGGGGGACAGTAGGGGGTCGGTTGGCACAATAGGGGATTTCGCAGCTAGTGTGGCGTGGTTTCGAATGGTATGGTGTGGTGTGGTGTGGTGTGGTTTGAAAGTAATATGGGAGGGAATGACAAAGTCACTTGAGCAAGGATAATATCTTCTATACTTCATGGCTTGGTGGCGCCGATGTTCACATGCGAATGCTGACAAGGATGTGATTCATTCCAGGAACAGCTTCTAGAACCAGGTCAGCAAAACAGCTCCCAGAAACACCTCACAGAAGCAGCAAACAGAAAGAACTTTCAGGGCACCTGCTGTAGCGCCCTCACAGGGACCGCTTACAGGGGTACTTGGAGTAGTCGAGGAGGTGTGGGTGCGGGCGGTCGTAGTCAGCTGCCATCTCACAGAAGTGGTTGGCAATGTCACACGCCACGTGTGCATAGCCACTGTACTCGTAGTCCTGAGCGGGTGGATAATGGGCGAGGCGACGGACATGATGGGAGGAGGGGATGGAACGGGACAGGAGCGAGGGAGGGAGGATGCAGAAAGCACAAGCTGTACTTTTAGTCCTGAATGGTGGGAGATGGAGAGGGGGCGAGGTGAAGTGACGGAACGGAACAGGACAGCAGCAAGTGAAGGGAGGATGCAGAAAGCTCAAGTGGTTGCCTGCCACATGGCAGGTGCATGCACGTCCCTGCCACTTGCCCAGTTCTTGAAACGTCTCGAAGTTTTGCAGTGCCTCGTGATTTTATTTTTGTTTCAGACGTCTCAACACTTGCCTGCCGCAGCAAGCACATCCCTGCCACGTGCCCACCAACCAGGCACCACCCAAACCCAGGCCAAACAGTACAGGCAACCATAACGAGAAACCAGAACTGCTTACAATGAGGATGATCCTCCCCGTGCCTCTCTCCTGCAGTATGTTCCCGTGTTGCACATCCATGTGACACAGCCCCACCCACCGCCCACTCTCCCCCCCTTCACTCCCCCCCTCCGCCTCCGCCTTCCCCTCTTCCTCCCCGCACCCCTCCCCCCACCGCCTGTGCGCTGCTGCCTCCAGCCTGTGAATCTTCTCCCCCAGCTGTCGTGGGTTTGCCCCGTGCACGCCCCAGGGGTGCAGCAGCTGCGCCAGGGATAGCCAGCGCCTGGGGGAGGGGAAGGCAAAGTGGAAAGTAAACTAAGGAAAACAAAGAGGAAGCAAGAGTGAGCGTGCTGCTGCCTCCAGCCTGTGAATCTTCTCCCCCAGCTGCCGTGGGTTTGCCCCGTGCACGCCCCAGGGATGCAGCAGCTGCGCCAGGGACAGCCAGCGCCTGAGGAAAGGAAGAGTGGCAGGCACAGGGATCGAATGGGTGCGGTTGTGGGAGGAGAGACACTGTGGAAGTACATCGGCTAAATCTGTATTTTAAGAATCCTAAAAAAAAAAAAAAAAAAAGCGGAGAGAGAGGGAGGAAGTACATCGGGCGACTAGTCATCCAGCGTTGGGGGGGTGCCTACAAAGACCGACTGACGGGCAAGAGAGAGAGAGAGAGAGACAACCAAGCAGGACCACCACCTCCTCCTTAAGTTCGATCCGTGGGGGGAGTGCCTGCACAGCGTTTCTATTCTAAGCTCCACAGCCCCCGACCTAAAGCAGGCAAGAGGCGACCTTCTGAGGTGATATTGAGACGCCTCAAAAGCCATTGCAAGTGCAAGACCTACTGGCAAGAAAGGGCACCGGCACAAGGGAGTAATGACCCACCCACCGCAGGCAGGATCACAAGCACGAGACGATCTCTCCCGGGGCACCTTGTGAGGCGCCTCAGACATTATGACCTACTGGCAGGTGAGTGGCACCAACTGGCGAGTGGCACCAACTGGCGAGTGGCACCAACTGGCGAGTGGCACCGACAAGTGAATAAGCGATGGCCTACCGCAGGCGGGACCAGAGGCACGAGGCGACTTTCCCAGCTGCAGTGCCTGGGAGGAGGAGCGCATGGAAGTGCCGCATGCACCGTGCGATCTGCCGGGATGTCTCTGGTTGCCTCATCTCCCCTGCTGTCAGTGGCTGTGTGTTGGGAGGGGGAGGGGGAGGGGGAGGGGGAGGGGGAGGGGGAGGGGGAGGGGGAGGGGGAGGAGAGTAAGGAGGGTGGAGGGACACGTTGAACACAAACTCGTTTCTCTTGTCGCGTCAAGCAAACATGACCTAGGCACGAAACAAAGCGAAACGACCTCCCTCCAAGGTGAAGTGCCTGGGAGAAGCAGCGAGTGAGAAGTGCCTCATGGACCATGCGATATCAAGGGTATTCAAGGCAATATCAAAGTCTACATCTCACTCACCTTGGCTTGCAGAAACTCCTCCACCCTGCCAGTGCCGAACGAGGCCAACAGCTTCGGTCCCAAGCCTAGGTCGGACATGGCTCGGGTGACTGCCTCCTCGTGTTCCCTCTGAAACAGCATTGTTGTCGCTGGGCCATACAGCCGCACCAACACCCGCTTCTCTCCTGAATGGTCCTCCTCCTCCTCCTTTGACTCCTTGGCTTTGCTCTCCCGTGGCTCGTTCTTCCTGGTAGGCACCCACACACACTCGTATACCTACGCAGAATGCAGAGAACGGGGGACAGCAAATGAAGAAATTGGAAACTGAAGCCGTGATTGGCCAGGTAGAATTGTGCACAGATGGCAGCAAGGTCCAGTGGCTACAGTATTCGCTGCCTTGCCTACCACATACAGCAAGATGTAGAACGAAAAGAACATAAGACCGCCCCAAAGAAGATTGACACGAAGGTAGAAGATATGTTGCCATGCTCAATCCGACACCACAAACTGACCCAGTCGTCGTCCTCTCGTCAACCTGTTCTTCATGCTTGCATGCACTCATGCACTCACCGTGTTGGTCATTGCTGCACTCATGGGCTTCAGAACCACATCACCTCCCTCCAACGCCTCATCTTCGTCCCCCTCCTCCCCAGCTCCCTCTCCCTCCCCTCCCTCCCCCCTATGCAACCCTCTCTGGTTTTCATTCGTCTCCAAAACATGCCCATCAGGAATTCTTCCTCCCACTGCCTCCTTACTCCTCCATATCTTCCTCACAGCTCGTAAAGCCGGGCGCAGTGACGAGATCGCAGCCGTCGCCTGAGATCTGACGGCTGAAATCGAACCCTCAAGAGGCTCCTGACTCTGTTGCAATCCAGGCCGTTCAGTAAGCTCCGTGCTCACTCGCGCATCCAATTGCAACTGCTTTGGCAAGTCAGCATCGGTAAGAGCAGGACCAGCACGTCTACCAAGATCAGCAGAACCAGCAGGACGATCTGCAAGTCTGTCCTCTTCGCTAGGTTTGTTTGCAAGTGCGCCATGATACCTGCTTCCGCGAGACTTGATTGCAACTGATTCACTGATAAGATCATTAGCACCCAATTCCTGAATCTTATAATCTTGCATCTCTCCACCACCCGATGTGCTTTCCTCGCGCGTGCTCGTGACTGCAGGTACGCGGCCAAGCCCCACGTCGTCATTCCCAAGGTTCACCACCTTAACTTGCGACGTTTTCCTTGTAACCAGCACCATTTCGCACTCAAAATTAAACTGTTCGTCAATATCGCTTTCCTGATCCTTCTGGTGCTGGAGTCGCAGCGAAAACTCTTCGTCAACGTTCTCTGCCGACAGCGTGATTGTGGGAATGTCGAAGGCCGCTTCGACGGAGTCGGCTCGGTCAAGACCTCGCGAGCAGCGGAGCGCCGTTAGCACGCCACGGGGAGAAAGAAACTCGGTATAAGATGAAGCGCTACACGTTAGATAATCCTCCATGGTTCTTGACAACCTTCATTCTTCTCCACCGGAGGAAAGACCTGAGCGGACGAGCCTTACCAATCGCACCGTTAACGATATCTTGTGTCGCTACTGAAGGACAACATGCGTGGCTGAGAATGAACACCAACCACACGCAACGGACCCCTAACTATAGAAATGGAAGAAGAAGCAGCTTCAAGAACGATTGAGGGGTCTGGAAATCCGAAGAGCACGAAACGTTTGAGTGATGCGGATAAATTGGAAGACACTGCTAAAATCGAAGAGTAGACAGGCAGACAGCACTTGATTCACACACCGAATGGCCTTGCGGAAAGTGAATTCGCCCTGCGTGTTGCAACGAGTCCCAAGTTCTCCTAATGAGGGAGACAGCCGCCACAGCGGGGGCTGCATCGCATGCAGGGCAGCGAGTGCCTGCGGCTGGGCTGTGCGTGCATGGCGGAGCGGGCGATGTGTAAAGCGTGACGCCCTGAAATGCGGGATGGACGGGGAGAATGATGTGAGATTTGGCTCATGCCTGGGTTTGGTGCGTCGCTGCCATCGTTACAATCACAAGCTCGAGTTAGTCATCTGACAGCACGACTGGTCCACGTGGTCGTAAGGCACAGGTCGATACAGGGAGCAACTATCCAGTCGTTCCGTACGGTTTCGTCTTTCACAGAAGCGTACTCCCCACACGTCGCTGCCGTTTCTTTTGACCCAGGTTCAGTGTACCTTTCGAGGTTGAATCGCCAAAGCTGACTCATCGTGTCATAGGTCTGACAAACCCCCCCCCTCACCCCCACGCAAAGCAGGCTCTCATTGGTCACAATAGTTGAGCCACAATGGAACTGATGTGGAACGAACTTGTCCCCGCCCGAAACTATGCACGAAGAGCCAACCAGAGTGGCGCAATCTCGCAAATGGTTTCGGCACGGGTGAATTTGAGCATCGACGAAAGTGGTTACCACTTGGGTCTCTATTCTCCAGCTGATGAGACCTCCAGTCCCATGTTCCACTTGACGCCCTTTCGCCAATCAGCAGAGCCAAAGAAAGCTCCTTGCTAGCTTCCCTTCCATCCCAAAGGGCGACCTATTTGCGGTTCCCGTCATCCGCTCCTTCAACAGCTATTTCCTTATCCCAGTCAGGGAACAAAATTGGCTGGTTGATCAGGTGCGTGAGGTGCAAAATCATGCGCTGATTCGTATCATTATGTCCAGGTTCACATCATCGTTCTCTCTCCCAGCCATGCTGTCTGTGACTGACACAACTGCAGTAGAGTAGTAGCAGGTATTCGCTGTCGCCGCCACTCGAAGATTGTCCATGACGTACAACCATAAGTAGTTTCGTAATGCTGCACTACGTCAACTGCTTGTGTATCGCTGCTCATTTAGCATCTACCTCCAGGCTTTCACGCGAACGCCCTATAATTTCACATGCAAATTACTCGATTACCTGATAGTGTTGCATTCTGTGAGACATTCTGTTTGCCTTGATCCTTGTGATCGATTAGGTAGACAAATTGACTCCACCGCCAATCGGTCATGTTACCTGCTTCGTTGCCCATATCAAACTGCTGGCATCGCCAGCCGTCGCATCAGTATCGCCATGCCGTCGCATGCCTTTCCCGATTGCTCCTCCCGCACGTCGCTCGCAGCGTGCGACGCTGCGAGTTCCATGACGCCAGCCAATCCTTAGAGCAGTGGCTCTTCCGGTCGCGAAGCCTCCCTGCTGCTGTCGATCGTGCATCGCATCGCGAAGACCTCGACGAAACCTATGTTCGAGAGCAGGGAGCCGATCCAGCTGTTACAGGTGACACTTCAACAAAATTCGCATCGGAATGTAACGCAGCACTGCCGTACGGCGATGCGAACGTGGCAAGGGAGTTCCTTCCCAAGTCACGCGGCCGTGAACTCGACGCTTACTCAATCCTTTCCTCGCAAACCCCTAATTACTCGCTCGTGCGGCAGGCTCCACCCCCACTCCCCTCAACCCAAGACCTGACCCTCCCTCCATCTCTCCTCGCTTACAAATGTCAGCCCGACCGTTCCTTATCTCCCCGTCTGACCCATTTGACGTTTGGAATTTCCCGACGGTTGGATTCTTCCGATCCGTCGCACCGCCACCGTCGACCTCACCATCCTTCTCACCGTCCGTCTCTCGAGGCGCGGTTCCATCACTCTCTCTCGACCTCCCGCGTTCGCGACTCGTTAATGCACGACGAGCCGCCCCACCAGCTGCAGCAGCCGCGCCAGCAACGGCACGCCGCGAGCCTTGCGGCTGCAACGGCGGCGCGGGAGGAAGAGGACGACAGGATGGACGCGGAGGAGGAGAAGGAGGAGAAGGAGGAGGAGGAGCGAGGGGAGGAGGAAGGCTACCGAGAGAAACGTAAGGAACGGGGGGAAGGAGTGGAGCGAGAGGAGAAGGCGACATTAACGCAAGGGGAAGGCGTGATTAATTCTGATCCTTCTACTACCATAATCAGACCATCTGGCATAGAATACCCGAAGGCGGGATTAGCCATGGCTGACGGTGCTAGTGCCGGGGAGGAAGTCGTGACGGACGTGTTGACGGACTCGTTCGGGCGGCAGCACAGCTACCTGCGCATCTCGCTGACAGAGAGGTGCAACCTGCGGTGCTCCTACTGCATGCCCGCCGAAGGGGTGGAGCTCACTCCGAAAGAGTGAGTGGTAACGGTGAGGTGAGGTGATGCCAATGCAGGTGCAGCGCGTGGGTTGCTACTGGGAATTTGTTTTTGCGAGCGCAAGTGCGTGCGAGAGGTGCAGCCTGCGGTGCTCCTACTGCATGCCCTCTGAAGGCGTGCAGCGTACGGTGAAAGAGTGAGTGGTGTCGGAGAGGAGAGAGATGTGGCTGTAGCGGCAGAACATGGTCGGAAAGTCTGGGTGTGTGAGCACGAGTGCATGTGTATGTCGGAGGTGCAACCTGCGGTGCTCCTACTGCATGCCGGCCGAAGGGGTGGAGCTCACTCCGAAAGAGTGAGTGGTGTGAGCACAAGGCATGATATACTTTCTGATTCCCAACTTTGTTCCTCCACTCCACACACCTCCTCCCCCCCCACTCGTCTCCACCCACTAATTCAAGCCCCCTCCCTTCCCCTCTCAATGCTTGCCACTACTGCGTGCAGACACTTGCTTTCAACGGACGAGGTCATTCGCCTGGCGGCTGTGTTTGTGTCGCAAGGCGTGACTAAGATAAGGCTCACAGGCGGCGAACCCACAGTCAGACGAGACATTGTGGACATTTGCCAGTCGCTCTCCGCCCTGCCAGGTATGTATGCGCTCATCTCAGCCAGGTGTGTATGCTCTCTCTGCTCTGCAAGGCGTGACTAAGATAAGGCTCACAGGCGGCGAACCCACAGTCAGACGAGACATTGTGGACATTTGCCAGTCGCTCTCCGCCCTGCCAGGTATGAATGCGCTCTCAACAGAGGACAGAAATCAGGCTGACAGGCAGCGAACCCACAGTCAGACGAGACATCGTTGACATCTGGTAGTCGCTCTCTGCTCTGCCAGGTGTGTGTATGCGCACTCAGAAGAGGTCTAACACACAATGCGTACCAGGCTGCTGTACGGATTCTCAAACACAACAATGAGGCCATGCTCGCACATGATTGGATACCATGAGCTGAGCATGAATTACACATGCGTTGAACCGTGAACGTGAGTTGCACCCACGCCTCGTTTCATTGCTCTCCCTCTCTCTCTCTCTCTCTCTCTCTCTCTCTCTCTCTCTCTCTCTCTCTCTCTCTCTCTCTCTCTCTCTCTCTCTCTCTCACCCCTCTTCTCTCGCCCTAACGTCCAGGCCAGGCCTTGATTGGCTGGCTACCCATACTCTCTCAGCACACGGGTTGCCTTGCCTCTCCAGTCTTCATCTGCGTACTCACACTCACACACACACTCACACACACACTCACACTCACACACACACTCCCACACACACTCACACCAACCTATCTGCACATATCTCAACACCCTGGCACACTGCTTCCCTCAACACCCCTCAATGCTTCCCTGACGACTCTCATGCCCTTTCCGTCCCTGATGCCCCTGCCACTCTCGCCACCCCTCTTCTGCATGCACTCCCTCTGCCTGCCCCATCCTGTGCCTCAACCCCAGCCTGTGCCCCTGCTGCTAGCACACGGCTCAGCACCCAGCCCAGGCACGGGGCCCAACCTGTGCCCCTGCTGCTACCGTGCTGCCGACAGCATGTGCTGCCGATTTTTGAGGCGCCTCATAACCTGACATCTCTCATCTCCTTGTGCCCCTGCCCCTGCCTGCCTGTCCCCACAGGGCTCAGTCAGCACCCTGGCTCTCGCATCAAACGGCATCCTCCTGCCGGCCAAGCTGCCAGCGCTGAGGGAAGCAGGTCTGACCCACCTGAACGTCAGTCTAGACACCCTCCTGGTGGAGCCCAGGTGCCGCCTCTCCTTCTCTCCATGCCTTCCCTGTGCCCCTGCCTCTGCCCGTGCCTATCCCCACAGGCCTCAGCACCCTGGCTCTCACATCAAACGGCATTCTTCTTCCCGCGAAGCTGCCAGCGCTGAGGGCAGCGGGCCTCACCCACCTGAACGTCAGTCTAGACACCCTCCTGGTGGAGCCCAGATTCGAGCTTCTCACCTCCCCATGCATTCCCTCGGCCCCTGCCCCTCCCTCCCCTTGCCTCTGCCCCTGCCTGTCCACACCCACAGGCCTCAGCACCCTGGCTCTCACATCAAACGGCATTCTTCTTCCCGCAAAGCTGCCAGCGCTGAGGGAGGCGGGCCTCACCCACCTGAACGTGAGCCTGGACACCCTGGTGGAGCCCAGGTTCGAGCTGCTCACGCGCAGAAAGGGGCATGCGCGCGTCCTTAAAGCCATGGACATGTCTCTGGATCTGGGCTTTAAGCCGCTCAAGGTGAGAGTTCCCATGGTCCCACCTGAACGTGAGCCTGGACACCCTGGTGGAGCCCAGGTTTGAGCTGCTCACACGCAGGAAAGGGCCACGCCCGCATGCTCAGAGCTATCGACATGGGTCTGGATTTGGGCTTTAAGCCTCTCAAGGTGAGATGGGTTTATGGTGCATGGGCTTGTTTCAATCTGTCTGTCCTTATGGCAAGTTCCCTGACAAAGGAACCGCCACAATCAGCTTCTGATGCGCCTTAAAAAAAATATATATTTCTGCCAAGTTTCCTGAGAAGCAACCGCTACGATAAACTTTTTTGCCTTCCCCTCCATTCCCCCTCCCCTTACCCCTTCCCTCCGCCTCCGCCTCCGCCTCCCCCTTACCCCCTCCCTTCCCTCTGCCTCTCTTCCGCCTTTCCTCTTGGCAGCTCAACTGTGTGGTGATGCGAGGGGTGAACGACGACGAGATTCTCGACTTTGTGGGTCTCACCAGGGACCGCCCCATCAACCCCCTCTCGTCCTTTCCTCTCCTTCCTCCCCTCCCCCCTTTACCCTCCTCCCCACAACCCCCCCCCAAACCCACTACAGCTCAACTGTGTGGTGATGCGCGGGGTGAACGACGACGAGACTCTCGACTTTGTGGCGCTCACAAAGGAGCGTCTCACTCACCTCTTCCCTGTCCTCTCATTTCCACTTTTCTCTCTGTTCCGCCTCTCCACCCAACCCCCTCTTCCCTTCTCCCACCCCCCCCCCCTATCCCTGTTGCAGCTCAACTGTGTGGTGATGCGCGGGGTGAACGACGACGAGATCCTGGACTTTGTGGCGCTCACCAGAGACCGTCTCACTCACCTTCTCTTCCTCCTCCCCTCTCTGTCCTCTTTCCCCCCACCCCCTCCCCTCCTCATCCAGCTCAACTGTGTGGTAATGCGCGGGGTGAACGACGACGAGATCCTGGACTTTGTGGCGCTCACCAGAGACCGACCCATCAACGTGCGGTTCATAGAGTTCATGCCGTTTGACGGCAACGTGTGGAAGACCAAGAAGATGGTGCCTTACGCTGAGATCATGGCCCGCATTGTGAGTGCCTGGTATGGTTGAGGAATGGGTGGTGAAGATGTGGGGAAAGGGCTGGGGAAGAAACTGGCAAGGGATTTGGAAGGGGGTTGGGAAGGGAGGGGAGGGGTGGGGAAGCAGCACCGTCCCGACATCTCCCACCTCATTGACCAGCCTTCCAGCCTCTCTCTCCCCGCTGTTTCTTTTGAGTCGACTCAAAAGTTCCCACCTCATTGACCAGCCTTCCAGCCTCTCCCCGCTGTTTCCAACTCCGCCTCCTCCTGTTTTCCCTTCCCCCCACCTTCTCGTTGCCCCCATCCCCTTCATCTGAAACAGCACCATCCCAACGTTGCTCGCCGTTCCCGTAGGACCTCTCCGCACCATTCCCAACACAATTCCGCCTCTCCCAACCCCTCCCCCCCCCCCCCCTCCCCCCCTCATTTCCCCTCCCCTACCTCATCTCAGAAGCAGCGCCATCCTGACACCACCCGCCTAAAGCACCACCACCCATCCCACATCCCCCCACCATTCCCAACTCATCCACTTTCCATTCCCCCATTCCCCCACTCCCCACTCCCCCACTCCCTCATTTCAGAGGCAACGCCATCCCGACATTGCCCGCCTCAGGGACCACCCATCTGACACGGCGAAAAACTTTCAGGTGCCCGGATTCGCGGGCAGCGTGTCGGTGATTTCGTCCATGACCAGCCACTTCTGCTCCGGCTGCACTCGCCTGCGCCTGCTGGCCGACGGGAACCTCAAAGTCTGCCTGTTTGGCCCCAATGAGGTGAGTTACTGCTGGGTGGAGGGGTGGCCTCTGTGTCTGTTTGGGCTAAACGTGGTGAGTACTGTGACCTGAGGTGAGTACTGTGACCTGAGGTGAGTACTGTGACCTGAGGTGCCTGGGTGCCTGGGTGTGATCCGTCCATGACCAGCCACTTCTGCTCCGGCTGCACTCACCTGCGCCTGCTAGCTGACGGGAACCTTCAAGTGTGTTTGTTCGGGCCCAATGAGGTGAGCGCAACGCCTTTTGAGGCGCCTCAAAAGGCGCCTCAAAAACTGCCGGGAACTTTAATGTGTGTTTGTTCGGGCCCAATGAGGTGAGCGCAACGCGGCACAAAATGGTACACTTATGCTCTCACGGTCTTGTGCACTCGTTTCCACATATTTACACAGTACCTCCGCTACCTTCCAACGTCAATGCTTGGTCTGTTGTTCATTCCATTCGTTCCCGACAGGTGAGTCTGAGGGATGCGCTGAGGCAGGGAGCAACGGAAGAGGAGCTGCTCTCCCTAATCTCTGCTGCGGTACGTCACCACCCTGTGTGCTTCGACTGAACGATGCTGTGTGTGCGCGGTGTGGAGTGGAGTGGTGTGAGTGTGTGGTATGGCAAGGAGCAACAAAGGAGGAGCTCCTCTCCCTCATCTCTGCTGCGGTAGGTCACCACCCTGTGACCGTGTGGTGTGGTGTCACTTGGTATGGTGTGGTGTGCTGACAGTGCTGTGAACGTGTGGTTTGCGTTACGTGTCGGCCAGGCGGATTTGTGAGTCTGAGGGATGTGTTGAGTCTGAGGGATGTGTTGAGGCAGGGAGGGAGTAACAGTAGGGATTGTTCTTAGCCCTTAAAGAACACAAGTGCGTATTGAATCATGTAACACGGGCATCATTCTCTGTGTTTTTTCGCCTTTTCCTGTTCTATCACGCTGGCTGTCAACCCGACAGGTGAAGCGGAAAAAGGCTGCGCACGCAGGCATGCTAGAGATTGCTAGAACACACAACAGGCCGATGATAACCATTGGCGGTTAGGATGATGTGATCATTGGCTGTGATTGCCGTGTTCGATGTAAGATGAGCATAGACAATGGTTAAGTGTACCTCTTTCTGATTGAGCCATATAAGGTGGAAGAGAATCAAATTATCGGAAGGGATTGGCAATTGAAACAGTGGGACAAGAACCAGAAAGATAGTTGTTACCCGAGATGTTTATAGAGCTGCGAGAATAAACAGGGGGGAGTAGTTTGAAGCAAGCTACAGTTCTATTGGTCATTTCCAATGGATGCTGCCCATTTAGGGGACTTCTGATTTTAATAATGTTGTTATGATATGTTACAGTGAAGGGGCAAAATGATTGTGTACACCTGAAATTATAGCCTGCTTTGAAGAAGAACCTCCCTAGAATGTAGAATACACAACAAAGTTTTACTGTAGCATAAAGATAATATTTGAATATGCAGGGTTCTACCTAACGAGAACTGCCTATCTACAAGCCAAGGAGTTAAATTTGCATCGGGATTTGGAGCTGGTACGAAAAGTAAAGAATGAAGGAATACTGTGCACTCCTAACCGCAGCAATCGAAGCATGCCGTACCGAGGCTAAATGCGAAAAGGCGGAAGTGACGCGAAGCGTCGTACGGATACGAAAGGATCTGGATCGTCGGGTAGGTGACATCGAGCAGCAGCAGTGGCGAAGATTCTGCCCAGACAGTTTCATAACTATCTGCAGTCGCACGGTTGGATTTCGCTGTAATAAGGGAATGTACCCCTTAGAGTACATTGCTAGTTAGGTCGTTTCGTATTGCTAGAAAGACATAGTGCCAGCGTAGCAGAAACGCGTTTGTAGAAAAGAACAAGTTAGAAATCTTGCATTGATCATTGAAAAGTAGAATGATGTCACAATGATGATGAAGAAGTGACTGTCAAAGTTAATTTATGTAACTGTTTGTGGTTTAGGTGTAGTGTATTTATCTTGTCTTCTGTTTGGTGGTGCACCTCTAGTTTCTTGACTTTATGTTGTATCTCTTTGCTATTATTGAACCCTCATTCTCTCGAAACTTTTCCTTCAACTCGAACTCAACTTCTCCTATCTCACTAGCCATGGATCCTAAGCCTCGCTAGATTCTTCACAGTGACACATGAGGGTATATATGCATCTAGCTACCCCTCCAGAATGACCCATTCACACCAGTAATGGTGTACCAATACCGTGATTATACCAGTAATTTCAAGACGTGCGCGAAATGCGATCGAACCTGGAGTGCATCCAACGTCTTCTCCTGTCCAGGTCGAGGCTGCTGTTGCGGCATGAAGCTGATTGAGCCACATTGAGGCTCATACGGAGCAAAGGTGGGTTGCTGCTGGTTTCCGCGCGCATAGGATGAGCCATCAAGACTCATGGGTGTAACATCATTATTGTTGTTGCTGATGTTTGACTGCGCAGGTGCTGCTTGCTGATGCTGTTCGAAGCCTGTCGCTTGGTTTGCGGGAGTCTCGGTAGACTCACCTGCTAGTCTTGTTGCTGTGCCTCCCTCTGTCTGCAGGCCAGAGGCTGGAGGGGGAGTAGGAGTAGTGCCAGGAGAGCCGTTGGAGGAGCTTCTCTCCTTCTGCGTTGCCATGCTTTCTGTCGTTGTAGAGGATTTGAATGCAGTTGAATTTGCCTTGACCGCTCTCATACCATGTTGGGCAGAGAAAAAGCCCTTAGGATCTGTACGAGGCTAAACTCTGAGTAGAGGTGCTGTAGTTGCGGAAGCGTTTTAATGACAAGTGTTGAACCACCTTGCGCTAGTATGTGAGGGCAAGATAGTTTGATTATAGAAAAGTGATACAAGCCTTTTATAAGATTACAAGGAATATGAAAGGGTGTAAGTAATAACTATTTTACTGTTGCTGTTGCGGTTCGATACAGTGACGACTCGGGCAACTGCTCAGTATCGAGTCAGTTGTTTGTCCTTGCTGTCGCGCTGTATTTGTCAAGTCAAAGGTCAGCGACCTTTGACCTTCGCCTAACCTCCAGTAGTTACATTTTCTGTCAACCTCCGATGGTTGACTCGCCGTTGCTTCGTTGTAGTTCGCTTTGCTTGCAATTCAGTGTTTCGACACATCAGAAGCGCTGAACTCACTGGTTTCCAACAAAACCGAACAACACACTGGTATACAATATTCGTTATACTATATTCGGATTTCCAACACCCCCCCTTGCTGTAGATTTTAGTGAATCTGTTCCTTGGAGGATGGGGTGGTCGAGGTGGTGTACCACCATAAGGTAGGGGTGCGCCCAAACCAAGCTAGGGTTTGGTGTTGACCAAGCTGCTTGTCACTGTAGCACCTTTCCCCTCCCAACCTTTGGGCCTTCCAAACTCCAACCAAACCACCTTCCTTCACGTTGTCCAATCCATCCTTCCGATCTCGATATTCTAGATCGAGATCTAGAAAGTAGTAGCTGCTGCTAAGGAAATCGTAGCAGCTCCATGACGAAATCTCCTCAAAACCATGGCGGAATGCGCGTATCGTTATAACGGAATGCCATTAGCGCCCGCCGAATTTCCGAATCCTTAGACTTTATCGCACACATGCTGCGCGACGACACGACGACCACACTTGACGTGCGTTTGCGACGATCGCGGTTGCGGATTACCGGGAGCGGAGGACGCATTGCGTGCGGCTGGCGCGGAGCTACATTGGCAGGCGAACAGTTCGCGCGATTAAAGCGTCGACCTGGCGTTCGTCAGCGGCTGACAAACTGGTGCGCGTCTGCTGTAGTATTTTCCTGTCCGCGACTGCTCCATCTTCGAGGTCCTCTCTCTCCCTAATTTTCTCCCTCTGCCTTTCTCCGTAAACCTTGCCTTGCCTCGTGCTGGGATTGGCACAAGGCTGTCCGCGTCTTAAATCGACACCAAAAGATGATGCCAAGTCCGCTCTTACTTCATCCATGTTTTCTTGTGATGCTCCCCCTACGCTCCAGCCGACACACAATAGCAGCAGGAGTTGCCAAACTCCATCAGCTGGAGGGTTGCGCATGTCGACTCCAAGTATGCGCACTCCAAGTATGTCTTGCACTCCAAGTATGCGGTAATGTGCACTCCATGTATGCAGTGCCCACCAAGTATGCAGAAATGTGCACAGCAAGGTATGCACAGACGTGCACGCCAGGTATGGAGAAATGCGTGTTTCCATGTATATTCTCCATCCTTCCCTCATATGGTGCCGTTCATCAACAGCAATTGGTGGGCACGCTACCGCTGCATCACGACGACGGATGGCGACCGGCTGCAACCTTTCTACCCGCTCCCCCTGCCTATTGGCAACCCTTGATGAGTATGTCTTCCCCACATGCTTCTTGACTCCATGTCCCACTCCAGTGCCACCAGATATACTCCACACCCCACCTCCCCCACACACGTGCTTGTAGTCATGCACGTAACCACGTACACAGCTACAAGCACATGAGTGAGTGTGGAGTTAGGTGATGCTGTGTTGTGCAGCACAGCTCGAGAAGGCTGCACAGGTGAGTACAACACCACAATCCTTGACTTGGCGATCATAAGCAGAGGTACGCCCGTTCCTGCACATCCCACATTTTTTTCAGCATCATTGTGTTCAACCTCCTCTGGTACAATCACTCCTACTGCAGGTAAGTCATCTGCTGCAGCATCTCCACTTCCTTAGGCTGTATCAACTTCATCAGCTCCAAGTAAGTCCTGTTTTAAAGGGTCTGCTCCATCGACTCCCGAATCCACCGCGGCCCTTTGTCCTTCTCCCCCTGAAGTCCACACAACAATGTGGGGTGAGACCTCGTCGTCATGATGCTGCTGTTTAAGAAAAGACCCAACATCCGGCAGCATATCTTCAAAGGACTGTGGTGAATGAATGTCCGTGTCAACATCATGTACTGGCTTCCGCACGACGCAAGCTTTATGTGCCATGCGGTATGCTGAATGGGTATGTAGGTGTACCCCAGGTGTGCGGAAATGTGTGCTCCCGTGTGTATGCAAGGGCAGTCCTAGTATGCACAAAGGTGTACCCCCTTCGCAACCATGCTTCTTCGATGACGTATCATTGCGGAAATGTCCAGTATCATGAGCGGATGTAAGTGCCGGCTCATACTCCACCATGAGAACTCCATGCACGTCCTTGCCAAGTCCAATCCGCACACACTTGTCTCCATCAAACATGGTGATTTCCGTATCTCCATCAGCAACCGTGTTGATGTGAGCCCCTTTCTTCAGCAGCTGACAAAAGGAGAGCAGGTTGTTCTTCAAGCCAGGTACGTAGAGGACTTCAGTGTACTGAATTGTTGTCCCATCAGGTGCAATTTTTCTGATCGTTCCCGTCATCTTGCTGCTCAGATGGCTCCCATCAGCAAGCTCCACAAACAAAGCTTCGTCCAGCTCCTGTAAGTCTTCAAACCAGCATCTGTCCGAAGTCATGTGCTGGCTGCATCCGCTTTCCAGCATCCACAATGACGCTTCAACCGAGGGTGAGGTTGCTTGCAAAGATTGTACCGTTACAATGCATGTAACAGTGCATTTGTTGTCTCCCCCGGCTGCTCCTTGCTGTTGTGA